TCCTGGCTGCGTGCATTTCTTGCTTCCTCTGGCTCTGATTCATGTTGGTTGGCATGGCTTCTCTCTTGACCTTGCTTAAGCCTAGCCTATAATACCCTTAAATTGTCAGATGACAAGGCTTCGGCAGCATCTGGGAGGCTCACTGTAACCTGAGGACCCTAGTGATAATACCCACAAAGCTATATTACCGTAGTTCTTAGTGTTCAGAACACTAAGGCATAGTTCTCTGCTAGTTCTCTTTGTGGATGCTATAAAAAGCTGACACGCTTGTGGTTACTATACCTCTCCTTAGTGGCTGCTTCTCTAAGTCTTTATTAGAACTGATTTACAAAAACAAAGAAAAATCTATGAGGAGATTTACAGCACAGACAGCAGCTTCCCATGTGGACTCTGCCGTGTGACACATAACTTTCTGTGTTTGCAAGCTACTCTGAGTTTATGTCATACCCCATCCTTCTGGACCAATACCTATTCAGCATTTGGAATAGTGTTTAATGAGAATATTTGAGAGCAATTCTAATGATACTGCATGGCATAGCCATTCCATTTAGGGTTATATTGTGCTAAGGGAGTAAAAATCTGAGGTATATGAGTTCCTCAAACACATATTCAACAAATTTGAACCAATTTCTGTAGTGTATGACAATTTAGAGCTTTTAATATTTAATGGATGCTCTAGAGCTGAAGTGGGGGATTGCTGCATGCCTTCTCATTTTCCACATTTAGGAGATTCTAAATCCTGCTAGCGTAATAATATCAGGACAATGTTCAAAGGGACTTCTTGTGGATAAGTTATTGTGGATCAGTTATTGTGGACTTATTGTGGATAAGTCCCTGTGTGTTCTATTGGGAAGACAGACATCCTGCAAAATACAGTGACATAGGAGGGATTTTATCATGGATAGATGTGCAATAACTTTATTTTAAATAAAGCCTAACCTTTGTAGGAATAAACTTAAGTGAAAGACATTCTGGATTTCAAGAGAATATCTGAGTCATATGTCGAGTTTAGATTGGTAAAATGGGCCTTGGGGAGGTATGGTATTGTCCCAAGTCATTTACAAAAGCTGCTGAGTCTGAAAATTGCCAGAGGACTCCTACCTTTAAATTAATAGTGGGGATGTTAAAACAAGAGCACTTTTGCTGTATATTGAGGTGAGTCATTATGCTGAAGAAATGAAAAATACCTGATTCTGGCTTGCCTGAGTGAGTGTGAGCAAGGCTCTGTCAGGAACTCTAGATTTCTTCTCAGTCTTCTAGGATTTCTGAACATGACCAGGCGATTACTTTGGCTCCTGTCCCTGTTACCTGACCTCCAAATTCATCCTTAACACTCCCAGACTTCCAAGGCTTCAGTGAATATTTTCAGAACTACCAGGGTTTCTTGCTTCCTCTCTCTTGGATGACCTTCATCAAATGTAAATGACGATGAATTCTAGAATGAAACTCAGAAACCTTCCAGATATCTACAGAATTCTTTTTTTTTCTTTTTTGGGTCACACCTGCCACTACAAATGGGTTACTCTGGCTCTGCACTCAGGAATTACCCCTGGGAGTGCTCAGGGGACCATATGAGACGCTGGGAATTGAACCCAGCGTGGCCGTGTGCAAGGCAAATGCCCTTCCTGTTGTGCTATCGCTCCAGCCCCATACAGAATTCTTTTGTTCCAATATAAATTGAAAACTTTGGCCAAGATTGGTCCTGGCCAGAGTTTGAAAACAGCACAGTAAAATATATTTTTCAGAAAACAACTAAAAAATATCACAGCTAACTCATATAGTGATAAGTACATCTTCTCTTTAGATACCTGTTCTTAGAGATGAGATCTTTCAGTTTTACATTTTATTGGAGATGCTTTGGTTTTGGTTAGTCTGTGTGCTTTTGTTTAATTTTTGGCCTGTATAAGCCTTAATCTCTTAATTTTTGTTTTCAGTATTGGGAATCATACCCAATGCATCATGCACGTGAGGGAAAACTATACCAATGAGCCATATCACTGCTTCCAGATTCTTTCCTTGGTGGGGGAAGGGGGAAGGGTAGGTTTGGGTCACATCCAGAAGTGCTCAGTTTATTCCTGGCTCTGCACTCAGAGTAAGCTTGGGGGGTTCATATGGAGTGCCAGAGATCTCTTCTGGGTCAGCCACGTGCAAGGCAAATACCCTACCCAGTTATTATCACTCTGCCCCCACCAAGTCTCTTCATTTTTAAGGTCTTGGGTCTTTCCATGTGTGGCACAACTGGGCACCACTTCATTGCCTGAACCTAGATCGTTTTAGGATTTTTTTCTTTCTCCTCTCTTCCTTTTATTCTCCTTCCCCTTCTCCTCCACCTCCTCCTCTTCCTCCTTTCTCCTCCTCCTCTTCCTCCTCTTCTCCTCCTCTTCCTTCTCCTCTCTCTCCTCCTCTACCGACTCTTCCTCCTCTTCTTTCTTCTCCTAGTTCTTCCTTCCTCCTTTTCTTTCTCCTCTTCCTCCTCCTTCTTCTTCCTCTTCCTTCTCTTCCTCGTCCTTTTTCTTCCTCTTCTCCCTCCTCCTCCTCCTCCTCTTCCTCTTCTTTCTTCTTTTTTGTTTTTTTTATACATCCTGGCAGCACTCAGGGCATATTCCTGACTCTCTGCTCAAGGATCACTTCTGGTGGTGCTCAGGGAACCATATGCAGCGCCAGAGATCGAACCTAGGTCTGCCATGCAAAGCAAGCACCTCTTCTTCTGTACTATCTCTGAACCCTCCATTTTAGGTTGAATCTTTTTGTATAACTACAGCCCATTGCATGTCTACTTAGTCCTACCCATCCCCATTAATGGTGAAGTGAACCTCATGTGTAGATGAGGATTGAGCTCTCCAATTCAGTAAATGTTTAATTGGGACTAGAGATCTAGGATTGTTCCAGAACCTATTCCAAGTATCTTATGAAAAATACAAAGTAAAAAAAAAGTATAACAGAATAAATTCCATGCAAATAGAAGGTCCTGGTAGACTGGGAGAAGCTAAATGAAACAGACTCTATCTCAGTGGAAGTTACCTTGTGAAGTGAGAATTCACACCTGGTGTGAATCCCAGTGATGAGAGGGGTGAGTTCTCTGAATTCCCTACTCCTTATCTCCTTGCCCCAAGGGGAAGGAGTAGTAGAAAGACCCATCCCAGAGGCTGCTGTCTAGAAACTGTAGACTCATATCTTTCACTCTGCCTTTTCTCAGAAGAGGCAGAGGAGATGCCTGAGTGTGGTGACTTTCTAGAGTCTGCCCTGTCTCCCTGCTTATTTCCAACCCCTCGATCCCTCAAGGTTATTTCTGCTCTCTGGTCTTTGCCTTTACCTTGATTCATCTATTAAGGCATCTAAAACAAAGTTACTTTGTTTCACTAGAAGTAGCACATTTAAGTTGAAGCAAATTGGTATGAAAAAGTAGCACATTTAAGTTTCTGAATATACAGATAAAATTTAACTCAAAGAAAATCTAAATTTTTCTTTGAGTTAAATTTTATCTGTATATTCAGAAACTTAAATGTGCTACTTTTTCATACCAATTTGCTTCAACTTAAATGTGCTACTTATTCATACTAATTTGCTTCAGTAAATATGCTTTTGGGGTCTCTAAGAACATTTCTATGGTATTTGTGATGAGCTCACTCTCTAAAGATTTATATATATTTACATATTTTTTAATATAAACAGTTGATACATGTTCACTGCCTCCCATAAGAAACTTATTTCAGCTGGGAAAGTGAATATAGATGACAAAACAGCCTGTTTGCAAAATAAGAAGTATACTTAAAGCTCTTTCGTCATAGCTGCTGGCATTTTGCTTTTGAGATTTAGCAGATCTCACTCACTCAGTATTCCCATGCTCTATCTGGCTCCTTCCACTGGTAAACTAATTGAAGTTCACCAAGTGACCTGGTATCTGAGGTCACTAATGCAAATAATAATAATAATTAAAACATAAAACCACTGTGACTGAAGTGCTAGAACAATGGAGTGGGGAGGGTTCTTGCCTTACATGTGGCCAACTCAGGTTTGATCCCTGGCACCACATAGGGTCCCAAGCACTGCCAGGAGTGATTCCTGAGTAAAAAGCCAGGAGTGTGCCTTGAGCACTGTGGCCCAAAAACAAATGAGAGGGGAAAAGAGGTGGTGGGAGAGGAGGGATGGGAAATGTCACTTGAAGATGAAGGATTTATATACTGATGGCTTGATCTTGAAGCCCATGTTCTTTTCACCATTATAGAAATGCTGTAAATGAACTATAATGGAGTAAAAAAGAGAGAACAGCATTTGGCTTATTCATAGGTCTCCTGTTGATGGCCATGAGAAATGTGTTGCACATCTAACGTATTTGCCAACCATTGTGACTAAATGGTAATGGTTCCCCTTTTCCATGTGGAATACTGAAACTTTTTCAGCTCTTTGTCATAGCTGCTGGCATTTTGCTTTTGATATTTGGCAGATCTCACTCACTCAGTATCCCATGCTCTATCTGGCTCCTTCCACTGGTAAACTAATTGAAGTTCACCAAGTGACCTGGTATCTAAGGTCACTAATGCAAAAATGAAAAAAACAAAATAACTGTGATTGAAGGGGCAGCACAATGGTTTAGGTGTTAGTTTCTCCCTTACTGGTACACATACGAGATTCCCCCTTGATCTTGACTGACTACCACATACCAGTTACCTCCTAGACCAGAGGAAAGGGAAGGAATAAACGGATTTTTGAGTCACCTTAAAAACCAAGCGGATGATTATTTCCATTGGCACTTTACTCATTCTCCCCTCCTGTCCATGTTAGCACGAAGTATCGACTTTTCTGCCCCTTTTTATTTGCCTGTGTACTTGGACAGATAGAATTTTGATCTATACAAGTAGAAGCGGCCCTCTAACCAGACAGACCAGTTAAATTGAAATCATTTAATAGCTCAGTAGAAGCCCCTGAAACTTTGAACTTGACAAGAGAAAGGAAGGCATAGTTTTTTTGACACTAATATCTGTATGTTTCTGTCCCTGCAGCCTTAGGAAAATTCAAAGGTACAGTATCCTTTGGTAGCCATGAGGCTATGTTCAGTCCCACAGAACTAAGTGAGCTCTGCTTAGTGGCCTGCAGAAGGGAATGTGCCTTGTTTCGGTGTGTGGCCGGTTTATTTGAAGCTGACTGTGTTACTGAGACAGAATTAGAGCTGGGAGTGACCACAGGCATGATGAGACCCTTCCCTGCCTCTGGCCAGTGGATCTGGCCTGCAGATGTGGTAGATCAGCCAAGACCCTGACTAGGTCACATGTGCTAGGCCTGGAGGAACAGGTAGAATGACGGTTACTTAGCGCTCTCCTGCGGGCCGAGCTCTTCCTCATCTGAGGCTGCTAACCCTGCCCGACCCATCTCCATCGCCAGTCTGGAGTAGTGAATGCCTGCAGAGGCACCGCTCTGCCCGGGAAGCTTGGGGGCTGGGCCTGGGGAGCTTGTCAGCCAGTTATCTCAAGGCCCGTCACTGGTCCAGGCTGCCCTGAGCCGCTCCTCCTGCTCGGCTCCTGAGCCCAGGAGGCTGCCGGCTGCGCCAGGTCACTGGTCAAGGCTGCCCTGAACATCCCCTCCTGCTTGTCTCCTGGGCCCAGGAGGCTGCTGGCCGCGCGGGGTCACTGATCCAGGCTGCCCTGAGCATCCCCTCCTGCTCGACTCCTGCGCCCAGGAGGCTGCCAGCCGCACCGGTCACTGGGCCAGGCTGCCCCGAGCGACCCCTCCTGCTCGTCTCCTGGGCAGGGGGCTGCCCGGCTGCTGCTGTCCTCCTAACAGATGTGCTTGATTTGTTCGCCACGTGGGGGAGGGCAGCCGTCACGTGGCGCGTGTCGGTAAGCAGGTGTCTTTGTGTCCCTCGCCAGCATGGGCGTGAGGGTCATGGACACGTCCTGGGTGGCCCGAAGAGGCTCCTCTGCCGGCCGGAAAGCAGCCTGCGTGCCGCCCCCTGTGCAGCCGCCCGCCCCGCCTGCCGACCCGCCGTCCCTGCCCCAAGGCCCCGCAGAGCCCGCGCTGCCCACGGCCAGCCTGGGCCTCCAGCCCGGGCCCGAGCGGACCAGGTAAGCCCGAGGATGGGGTGCCCACGGGTCTTCTGGGTCTGGTCACGCCCCACACCCCATTTCTAAGAATCCGTGCCAATTTGGCACCAAGTAAGTTATCTGTAGCCGCACAGAGTTCCTCAGATATCAGAGAAGCCCAGGTTTTTCCAAGAACAAATCCCCAGCAAATACGTGAGGCGGAAACCTGCTAAAATAGTGTGAGAACCAAATTTCCCCAACTCTCCATTTCCTTTTTTTAATATATTTTTAAATATATTTTCATTAAAGCACTATGATTTACAAAGTTATTAATAGTTGATTTCTAGGCGTACAATGTTCTAGCACCAATTCTACCACCAGTGTCACCTTCCCTCCAGCCGTGTTCCCATATTCCCTCCCTGTCTCCTAATCACCACATACACACACACACACACACACACACACACACACACACACACACACACAGCATACCGTCTTGGCAGGCAGCATTTCAATTTTGGGTTAGAATTTGAGTCTTAGGGTTTCGGTGTTGTTGCCTCTGGTTTGGATATTCAGCTCTGTCATTCCTCACCCCCACCGACGTGCCTGAATGACCCTGCTCCCCCATTTCTCCTTGTTGTCTCTTCCTGCTTCCCCTCCTCTCGGTTTCTTTCCTTTTCCACCCTAATCCCTTTATGCTGGGGCCAAGGCTGATCTAGGCACTCTCCCCTTTAAGCCACCCACTTATTCTATTTCTCCTTTTCTATGCCATTATAGTTTCCGACTTTGAAGTTACAATTTCAGTGTTTCTTCCCTTTCTCCTTTTTTTAAACTGAAAAACTAGGTACAAATCAGGGAAAGAGAGGCAATAATGTCATAGTGGATCTAGTGACCTTTAGAGCATACCTTCTAGTTGTCTTAACTTTCTCTTAGAAGAAGAAAAAAAAAGAGAACAAATCTAGTTTATCACTAGTTCAGGGCACAGTTATGGAGGTACTTATATATTCATGGATAAAATATACTCTCTGGATGCCCTGAGAAGTTCTAGTTGCAGTGAGCAAACAGGCATTTACAAATAACTGCAGCACATAGTTTGTCCATAGGGTGCGGGAAGGGGACCTGTCCCTGCCTGAAAGGAACGTAGAGGGGAGTTAGGACAGGGAATTGCACCGAGAATCACAGTGCTGTGTCTTCGACAACAATTCAGAGAAGTAGTTATTTCAAATCAGACTGGGAAACTAAAAGTTTCCGCTCAATCTTGTGTTGTTTCTCTTTCCCTTTCCCTCCATTCTCAGTTTCTCTTCTCCTCTTCCTCCCCCTCTCTCCCCCCTCAGTGCCATCACTATCTGCAGCACTCATATGCATTCATACACACAGAAATACACACAGTACTACCCCATATGAGAAGATTTCAGGCTTTCATCTTTCCTTGAATGACAGAAAGTATTTTCTACAGTGAAATGGAGAAATGACAAAGGGAAAGGGGCACTCATAGAATTGTAGAGGAAAGCAGTGGATTCCTTGGACTATTTCAGTGTTACACTATCCCCAGCCTAGAGAGATGACCTGTCCAGGTCCAAGTCAGCTTGGCAGATGGGGATTTAGACAGTGATTCTGCACCTGCCTGCTGTGTGCTGGAGAGATGGCAGAGAACAGAAACTAGGTGACTGGGTTTGCTAAAATGGGTTTTAGCAGGCATCATCCCTATTACTCATCTTAAAAATAAATAAGACTTGGTTCCAAGATATATTCAGCTAATAAAAGCTTTTTCTATGGTGCCAGAGCAATATCACAATGACTAGGATGCTTTCCTTTAGTTCTGAACGTGTTCTAGGAGAATCATGGGCCCTGCAGAATTGTACTTAGAAATGAAGCATTACTGGCTCACGTATTTAGAAAGCCACACCAGGCTTTGCACTTCTTATACCACCTGTTTTTCCTGGGAAACCGGTTGTCATTTTCTTTTGGATTTGAATTGTTTTTATTTTCATTCATTTTTGTTTGTTTGGGGGCCACACCTGGTGGTGCTCAGGGATAACAAACTCCAGGCTGTTCATTCAGGGATGCCTCCTGGCAGTGCATGAGGGACCATGTGGGTTTCTGGGCATCAAATATAAGTCTTTCACATGCATAGCAAGCTGTATTGCCCTTCTGTACAAACCCACCCCCCGCCCCAGGGTATTGCTACTCTTATATGTTCTGCACCACTCTTTTTTCTACATGGACTCCTCCTAATATAAGCAGGTGTTCTTTTTTCCCCCGTTTTCTGGATATTTGGGCTGGAGCGATAGCACAGTGGTAGGGCGTTTGCCTTGGGTGCAGCCAGCCCAGACAAGCCGGGTTTGATTCCTCCGCCCCTCTTGGAGAGCCCGGCAAGCTACTGAGAGAGTATCTCGCCCCAACAGCAAAGCCTGGATTCAATATGCCAAACATAGTAACAAGTCTTAAAATGGAGACATTACTGGGCCTGCTCGAGCAAACCGATGAACAACGGGAGGACAGTGTTTGTTGACAGGACAGTGTTTTCTGGATATTTGCAGCTCAAATAATGTTTTCTTTTATCTTTTTCTTCTTTTGGGTGGCGTATGGGGGAGTTGGGGCCACACCTGGCAGTACTCAGGGGTTACTCCTGACTCTACTCAGGGATCAGTCCTGGCGGGCTCGGGGGACTATATAGAATACAGGGGATTGCACATGGTTGGTCGCATGTGAGGGAAGTGCTTCCCCTCTACTCTCTGGCCCTTCCATGATGTTTGCCTCAGTTGTTGGGTTTCTGTATGGCTTCCACTCCCCTGAGGATGGCAGACCTCCCCTTGCTTTCAGCTTGCCAGAAGGCTCCCATTTCTCACTAGGGCTATTCCCCATAGACCTCATCATTTTCTCCAACTAGGCTCAGCTTCTGCTTTCTCTTCATCTGCTTGGCATCAATGCTTTGGTCATTAATGCTTAATGCATTAAGGCCTTGCTTCTGCCTCTGGCATGAGCAAGCCATATGTTCTTAAAACTAACATGTAACCTGTCTTCATATACAGGCAATTGTGCCTCATCCATTGAGCATTAAAGCATTAAGCGTTTATTATTTTTGGTTCATATCTGGCAGGACTCGAGGGTTAGTCCTGGCAGTGTATGGGGAACCATATGGGGTACCAGGGATTGAACCTGGGTCAGCCACGTGCAAGGCGAATGCCCTACCTTTTGTACTATTTCTCCAGCAGCCCCTCTCTCCCATTAGATCTCTAACCTCTTAAACCCTACCTTTCCTCATTGGGTCAGCTGCACCTGTGCTGGAGATAGAGCGCAGGGCTACGTCGGTAAATACATGTTTAAATGGTGGGAAAGTATATCAGGTATGTGTGTGTGAGGGGGTGGGTGGGGGAGATAAAGATGAGCTCATAGTTCCTGGATTCTTCAGATAAAACCTATCTATCCAAAGAAAAAAAGAAGGATCTACTATCCCAAAGAAAGCAATATATTGTTTTCCTATTTTATATTTTGTTTTTCTCTATCTGCCCTGCTCTTAGTTATGACAGAGATGGAATGGAAGGACAGATTTGGTGCCAGGCTTTCTAGAGACCTTGAACCTGAAGAATAATAAAAGAAATTCTTGGTCAACTTCAGTGAGTCAGGGAAATGAATCAGGAAATTTCTGTGTTTGTTGTTCTTCTTTGGAATTAACAAAATAGATAAAGGAATTGTTGCTCCTGTGGGTTTTTTTTAAATTGAAATAGCATCTTCTTTTGCTATTACATGAATATAAATTTATTTTGAAAAGAAGATTGAGGGAAAGGGAAATTTTCTTCCTGTCTTTCTTCGTTCATTTTGCTGGTCTAATATTTAAATTGTTATAAGATATATTAACAAGATGAAAAACATTAAATTTCACATGTATGGGGTCCCAGAAATTTGTGAACCAGGCAGGTGACCAAAGCATTTCTCAATACATATACATATATATTACACACACACACACACACACACACACATATAAGTATATAAAAGTTTTTAGCTAAAGAACTGAGAAGAAAAGTGTTCAGAGTTTTAGATGAGTAAAGTAACCAAGTTTTTCAATACAGATTTTTCAGCCCTATATCTGGTGATAGCACCAGAGTTATCTCTGCCTTCAACCCTTCCATTAATGGGGTGGCGGGGGGTAGGGTGGCGGGCAGTGTTACAGATTATTCTTTCTCATACAGGAATTTAGTCTCTTTTGTCTCAAAGAGAAAAAGGAGTAGTAAACATCTTTCTTTCTTGCACTGACTTTTTCTAAAAAATGAATTTAGAATAACATGCCAGGTATATTTGGGGATCAACCTTGAATCCTATTAGAGAGAACTGACCTTGACTGTAGTCTTCTCTTTATTCTTTGACATGGGGGAAAGTCAGTGTACTTAGATCATATTTGCTATTGCAGCCTTATATTGTTCCTCATTTTCTCATGAAAAGAATACAGAGCACTAAAGGGATTGCAGGCCCAGTGCATAGTGAGCTTGGGGTCCCAGCTGTTGACTCCAGAAGTGACAGTCACCTCTGAGAGCATCTTGATTCAGACCAAAACTGTGTCAGACTGGACCTGACCAAACAGAACACTTGAGAACGTGACCCCCAAAGCTGTCATTACAGTTACCTGAGTTTAGGGTTTTTCTTTTGTTCTGTACGCTTACATTTCAGCACTTCTAAAAGCAAGGAACTTTCTCCAGGATCTGGCCAAACAGGAAGTTTGGGCTCCAGCCAGGGGACACCCAGTGCAGGGATGCAACCAGGGACGCAGCCAAGTGCCAATCCCAGCCTGTCACCTGCAGATCAGAGCCCACAGACCCTCCGGAAAGGTATGGCACAGCTTCCTCCACCTTGCTCTCAGGACAGAGACTGGGTTCCCTTAATCGGCTTGGATCTTAGAAACTGTGGGGCTTAGTGGAAGATTTCTCTGTGTGTAGAAAATTTCTGCTTTGTGTAGACCTCTGTGTTAGACACTGAAGATGTAATGAAGCAAAAGTACAGTCCTCCAGAAATGTCCACATGAAACTGCTGTTCTTTGGCACATCCTGTTTACGAGACCATTAATGCATCCCCCCAGTCTACATGGCAGGATGATGGCACACCCTGAGTTTTGTCCAATGAGATAAATGCTCCTGTTCCAGGCCAGACTACTTCCTAAGGTGAGGAGCAGGTTGGCCATTTTGAGTTTTGTTATTTTGTTTTGTTTGGGGGCCAAACCTGGCAGTGGTCAGGGCTTACTCCTGCCTCTGCACTCAGAGGTCACTCCTGGTGGAGCTGGGGGAACCCCATCTGAGTTACTGGGGATCAGACCCAGGCGGCTATGTGGAAAGCAGGTGTACAGCCACTGTACTAACCTGGGTTGGCCATTTGAATTCTCACAGCACATTTGACTTTTTTAGGAACTGCAGCCTAAAATGACTCAGGTGACCTTTCCTAAAGATAGTAGCTCAGAGACATCATTTGAAAGCTACAACATTCTTCTCTACCCTCTGTCAATTAATGGCATACCAAGCATGTTTTTGACCATGTGCTTAAAATTTGACATCAAGGCCTATTTCTTTCACTACCTAGCATGTTCACTGTTATCAGAGACATCATGGTAATATTTCTGCATTTCCCAGCTCATTTAAGAGAAGACATGTTCAAGCATTGATTTTGCCCCAGTGGAACAGAGACTGAAGTGACCACTTGACTATCATGCACTTTAGTAGAAGTTTCTGGGGAAACTTACCTGTGAAGCAAATTTATTATAAACCATGATTACATGATACTTTACATATGTGACTCCTTTTAATTATGACAGTATTGAATGTATTGTTCTTATTGTGTATAAGAGGTTTAAAGCAATTTCCCCAGGCACAAAGATGATATGAATCCATGGGCATGTGTCTCAGAATGGCATTGTCAAATAGTACAGAAAACTGGGTAAGAACATGCAGCTTCAGGAGACTAGGCTTTTTGGCCATGGAAAGTGAGAGAAGAACCCTTGCTACTTCCTTGAATACCTAAAAATATTTCTGTAAAATTAGTGCTACACACAGGTGGCCCACACTTAATTCCGACAGTTTAGTGATAACTTAAAATATTTGCCATTAATGGGCTCTGCTAAGTGATTCTTTTGGTGAAAGGGATTTGGGGCTACTTTATTGGGGTTCACACCCAGCGATTCTCAGGCATTACTCCTGGCTCCGCACTCAGGAATTACTCCTGGTAGTGCTAGGGGATGCCAGGGATTGAATCTGGGTCAACTACGTGCAAGGCAAATGCCCTACCCGCTGTACTTATGCTTTGACCTCACTGCTAAGTGTTTGAGTGTGTCTTATCACTTCATTGTCATTTAAAGAAATAACAAACTTGTCATCTTTTAGCATGATTAAATAGGGAAGACAAGACAAGATAGAGGCTGGGAGCAAGGATTTGCTCAGGAAATGCAGTGGATCTGTACATAGCTACATCCAGGTTATACGGCTCTTGAAAGAGAAATAGCTGTTAGACAAGTGGGCAGAGAGCACTAAAATCACCTGATTTCTATGGCCCAGCACTTGGTCAGTTGTCACTGTTAAAGGGGCCAAGACCTGTTGGAAAAGTTTGGTCAAAGGTAGTCACCTTATCTGGAGGATGACCACCACTATTCATGGTCACCATTATCAATTGAACTCTACTCGTCCTTCCTTGGATCCTGTGCTATGACTTATTTTCCTCAGAGTATAGCCCACTGAACCCAAGAAAATTAGTCTGTAGATGAGAAACTATCTCCTCTTGGTTGCCTGGGGAGTTTGTGTGTATATGTTTAGGTCATGTCAGAAATCCGGAGGAGAAATGAGTTAACAGATGGGAAGATGTAAAATTTGCAGTTCTGGGTTATTTATTTATTTTTACTGAATTGGCTGCTCTCAATGTGGCAAGAGATGGGGGTGTTCTGGGGGGGATAAGGGTAGGAGGTGTGAAGGGTGTGCTAACACACATCACACACTGGCTTTATTTAACAACCTGTGTTTTGTTGTTGTTTTCTTTTGCAGTTTCCAAGAAGCTGGCACCAATTCCACCCAAGGTCCCCTATGGCCAACCAGGGGCTATGGCTGACCAGTCCAGCAGCCAGCCTTCCCCACTCAGCCTGTCCCCAACCCCACCCAGCACCCCTTCGCCCTATGGACTGAGCTACCCTCAGGGGTACTCCCTGGCACCAGGCCCACTCTCCCCCGCTGCAACTCCTTCCCTGGCTTCTCCTTCAGGTTTCACAAGCACTTTAACCAAATCGCGGCCCACCCCTAAGCCCCGACAGAGACCCACTCTGCCGCCGCCTCAGCCTCCCACGGGAAGCCTCTCCGCCTCTAGCCCACAGTCTGCGGAGCACCCCGTGCTGGATGGCATGTCCCCTGTGGAAAGCATGTCTACAGGTAACCAAACCACTGCTCTCGCCCACCTTTCCATGCACCTCGCCAAGTGCCATGTGAAAGGAATGTCCGTGGTGTTGCCCGTTACCTTGTGGTATTGGCCGTGGGGTGGCTTGTCTCTTAGAAGGGCCTGGAAAGCCCAACAGAAAGCAGTCCCAACATCCAGGCTGTCCTGTAGCACAGCGGTCTTCAATTTTTCTACAGTTGTGATGGGAATGCATCCTACATACTGGCCCATGAGCCAGTCGTTTTTGACTTTCTACCTGCAGACTGGCAACAGTTTGTGACCCTCACACTGTGGCTGAAGAATGCTACTTTAGAGAGGCTTCTTATTCTCTCAATAGAGGGTTCTGCTTTCTTCGGGGAGCTGGCAGGAGGGTTGAATGTCCTTTGGAAAGGCAGAACAGGTTCAGGTGAGGTATTTGAGGCTTTGTTGACTAGAATCCAGCATCTAAAAATGTACAGTCCTTGCCTTGAAAAGACAGTCTAAGAACCAAAGACACCTTTCCCTAACACATTTTTAACAATATATTTAAGGAGGGTCAGTGTTAGAAAAGATGCATTTCCCTCTGGTTTGTAGGAGTTCCCACATTCATTTAGCAACACCCATCTGGAAAAAGAGGACACTTGCAGAACATTTCCCATTCTGACCACGATATTAGAAACTCGGGGAAGTTGGTCGCTGCTCCTTGAGGTCATCATAGCCCTCCCCTTGTTCAGGAGGGCAGTGTTGGGCGCCCACAGCACAGAGCCCACCTGCATGTTCCCCAAGCAGCAGGGGGCGTGCTGCACTGCCCGGGGTGGGCCCCGGAGAGGCTGAGGTAACTGGGCTCAGAATACATGCACACAGCCACCACGACCATCCAAGCTCACATGCACGTAGATGCACACACGCCAGACATACATGTCATACAAAGGGCACCAGGATTTCTCAGGAGGAACTGTAATTGTAGTCCCAGAACCTTCTTTGAGAGTGACAGTTTTTTCTCCTTGGTTAGAAAGAGGATTGAATGAATCTAGTTTGAGGGTTTGTAATGGGTCGTAAGACTTCAGTATTCTAGGAAACAGCCCCCCCAGTTTTCTATTTAAGATGATAAATGTAGAAGGTATAGCTGCTGGTTTCTACCCAGGGACTTTCAAAACACTCAGGAAACTCCTCCTTGAGAAATGAATGAGCACTTCCCTGGCAGTGCCAGGGGTGGGGGCGTGGGCCCGCTGCCACAGGTGCCCCCTCACTACCTAGGTTGGCTCCCTATCAGCCCAAGAGGCCATACGCTTCCCAACTGTCCTGGGCCAGGACAAAGAGCTGGCGACACTGAATGCAGTCGAAGTAGAGGCTACCACTTGGGAGAAATAGCCAGTAATAGAATAGGAACTGGGAAACCAATGTGGGCACCAGGAGACCTGGCCCATCAGCCCAGGGAAGGGATCTGCTTCCCATTGTGCAGGTTCAGAATTCCCAGAATTCCCATTGGAGTAATGCACTCCACCTCACACACCTGTTTCGTGTTATGTCTTTGGCAGCAAGTTGTCGTTCCGTCCAGTGTGTATAGGAGGTCTCGGAGCCAGTATAAAATTGTACTGGCCTGCTTTGGCCTCCCTGATTGTGATACTTGGCATAATTTTGTGACATTCTTACTTCATCGTGTTTCTTCCTTTCTCCAAATCCTATCGTTGTGTTCTTGCAGCTGTGTGACATGAGTGGCGCAGTGTTGGATACGTGTGAGGGGGATTTCAGGGTAAGCAGCCCCAGCCTCACTTCGTGACTCCCCCCTAGCCAGCCGGCAACAGCTTTCTGCTCCACTCTGCATGTGGCACAGACCAACTGCACGCAGCTGCGCTGTCACCTCTCTGGCCTCAGCGGGAAGGTCTGGGTCCGGGAGCTCAGCCGGCTTCCTGGATCCCTGGCTGGGTTGTTTTTGGCTCTGAGGCTTTGTTTCATTAGCATCAGGGCAGAAGCTGGCAGACAAGCTGAGCTCTTCTCTTTCACTAGAACCACCTGTTCTCCGCTCCACCTGTTCGTTCCTTTTGACTAAGAATTGAGGGAAACAGTCCGTTTCAGAGCCTGATCCCCGCCCATCCCACCCTGTTGTTTGGCCTGTGGTGCTGGGAGTCACTCCTGGCCCAACAGTGGTAGGCAGGCGCGCTGCCACTGCACATCAGCAGCTCCCACCCTGCACTGGGTCAGGGGATTGCTTGCTAGGACGTGTGCCCGGAATCCAGGGAGCTTTCATCTTCAGCATCTTTGTTTAGCAAGTGCCTGATGCCACTGTGGTCTGAACCACTTTCTCCCTTCCCGCTGTGAGACATGAAGCCTCCTGTGCCTTCCTCTGGGTGAGACGACTGGCACATCCAGAACTCAGAACTAGGATTCCTTGTGAGCTTGCTCTCTCCCAGTGTGGATGGCGAGACAGATTTGTCCAACTCAACATATTTCAGGAGTATTTATACCAGGTGTGTAGTTTCTTCCTCATCCTCTGGCCTTTGCCTCAGCCTGAGTAACAGCCCTTGTTCGGCCCTCCAGAACCCCTGAAAAGTTAAGTCTCTGGGACTGCAGAGACCAGTCCCAGTCATGATACAAAAGCACTGTCACCTACAAAAGCTTTCAGAACGGTCACCAAGAGTCCCTCAAGCCCAATGTTAGCGCGTGTGGGCTCTCCTAAATGCTACCCCTGGCTGCCTGAGTCTCCTTGCCCCTCATGACTCTTTAACTTGAACAGCTTACCTCAAGCCGATTGTGGGCTGGAATTCTTGAGAAGCTCTTCACATTGTCTTGTTGAAACCATCATCACCCATTCTTAATCCCATCTGACTGCTAAGGTAAGAAACAAGTTCAGATCAGATTCCCTGTATGGCAAAAATGGGATTTTTGAATCTGCACTAGCACTGTTGCACCTTAGGGTGGAGGCTACAAGGCAAGTGGGTCCCAGTGGGAAGGGATGGGATAAGCCCCAGGACCCATAGTGGCCCTATGGGACCTGGAAGGGATGTGGCCAGTGGCACTGAGCTCCCCTACCCCATTCATCTCTGCTGAGTTAGGTAGCAAGATGAGGAAAGATGAAATAATTTTGAGGATCATCAGGGGTGGGCAGAGAAGGTCTGTTTCCCCAAGCTTCAATGTTTGTCTTTTAGGGTGGTGTCCAGATGTGTGTCACTTGTTAGTATTCCGGAGGCTGAATGTTTTACAAAACACTCCTCAGTGAAATCCCTGACCTCAAGTGCAGCTGGGCCCAGGTTGACAGCCAGACTACATGAAATATGAGCAAGTTTCATAGCAGAGATCCACAGACACATGGATCCTGTCTCCGTTGTGGTCTAGTTAGTGGTCTAGTTAGCCTCCTGCAGCCCAGAGGGGGTGCAAAGTTCAGACTGACTTGTATCTGCCTAGGAAATGTTGGCAGCTTTGACATCCACCACTGTGGCCTTTTTTTATACTGACCTGCTAGCTTTAAATACTTGCCTACTGAACAGACTTCCTGAACACACTGAGCTATTACCTCAAGATGCTTTCTTCCTCAGTTTTTCACAAATGACCTTTGGAGTCCCTAATAAAATTGTGCCTAAAAAACAGCTTCCCTGATGCTACAGATGAGGGCTTCTGCAGTTGAGGAGTCCCCCAAACCTGCCTTCACCAACCATACAAATTGTACCTGCAACCTCAGAGAATGGAGCATTGTCTCTGGATCGTGCTTGTCATTCATGGACTAGGTAAAATAGGAGGTGGAATGATAAGGAGCATGGCTGGGCAGAAGCTGTAGTGCTCCTCTCTGAACTATTAGAGCAGAATCCTGATTCTTTGGTTTTCAGGCCTGTGAGGTAGAAGCAAAGGGGTTCCTGGCCTTGATCCTAATCCTGCCTTGCAAAAAAAAAAAAAAAAAAAAAAGACTAAAGATGGTCTTTAAATGATCTCGCTCTTCCGTACCCAATCCTTCACCGCATCCTAAAGCTGTTGCCTGACATCAAGGTCCTCTTAGCTGGAGGTCCCTTCTCAGCCACATTTCTCTCTCTCTGACAACTTGCAGACCTTGTCCACTTTGATATCCCCTCCATCCACGTAGAGCTTGGGTCAACACTCCGCCTGAGTCCTCTGGAGCACGTGCAGCGACACTCAGTGACGGAGAAGAGAGATTCAGAGGAAGAGTCTGAGAGCACCGCCCTCTGACCTGGCGCCCCGCCCCAAGGTGTACATACAGACTCGGCCAAGAGCACCCCTGGGCTCGCCAAGTGTTCTTCGTCGGCTCCTTGCTGTCACTACCAACATTAGGTTGGAGTTTGTGCAGAAAATTGCCCTCTCCAGCCTGCGTGGCATATGTAGGTGGTGCAGATTGTTTGTTCCTGTTGGGTGGTAACTTTGGCCATTTGTTTGATCTTTGCCTTTTGACTTTGTGCCTATTTTGTCTTACTTTCTGTCTCCATGCCAAACAACACCTTTTTTTCTGCCCATGGGTATACCTGTCTGCAGTGTCACTTGAGAGTAGTATCCCTGAGGATACACAGTCAAGACCCAGTGCCACAATGCCAACTTATTTGCTCCAGAGCAACAAAGGATAGCAGATGACCTTCTCATTTACATAATGCTAGTTCTAGAATTTTAAAGTCTAGGGACTGACTTGCCTGACAGACAGGGCCCAGACAGTGAAAACCACCCCTAATCCCTGGGCTCTGAATTAAATGGCTTAGGACAGTATTCACTTTCTAACAATTTCATTTCCCACACTGTGTGACTGAAAGCTCCCATTTTCTTATTGTTTTATATTTCTGAACTTAAAAAACAAATGACCTTAAGGTTGCCTAGAGGGCCTAAACTTCTCCACATGCCCCAGAAACGGGAAATGCCCGATGCCCCCCCACCCCTCCAGGCTCCCAGTGCACCCAGTTTATTTGGTCCACAGGGTCCCATGACCCACCCCTTCTGTTGGAGGTCACAATGAATAGCAATAATTCTGTTACCCAAAGCACGGAGAGCAAAGTGGCACTGGCCTTCAGAGACAGCAGGCCGTGGTGTGCCTCGGCCCCTCCTCATGAAGCCCCATCCCTTCTCACTGGAAGAGCCACAGTGGCCCTGGGGGAGCTGAGTTACAATGTAGCAGATTTGCGTCATGCATGCAAAGTCGAACTTTACAGTTTTATCCTTTTAAAATAGATATATCTATACATGATATATTTGTATATATGAAATCTCTCTATATTTGTTTAATTTGAGCCATTAAATCTAAATCAGTGTACAGGTATACAATGAAACAATCAAATGCTTAGTTATTTTTCCCAACACAGTGTAAAATAATCTTCCTCTTCAGACAGAATTTGCAAACTTTCAATGTCCATGGCTTTGCTTACTTCCTGGCAAGGATGGTTCAGTACCGAATTTGTAAGAGAACCCAGGGGTTGAAAGTTTCCTTTAAATACATGTACAAATAGTTGTCTAAAGTAATGTTATTAAAATAGATTTATTATCCCTGAGCACAGCCTTGCTTATTTCAGTAATAAAGCGGCACAGTGATCACTCTTGGGGTGCCTCAGGAGGAACCCGAGATCCTGGCTGGAGAAGGCCAAACCCTCATCTGTGTCCCCGTCACCCGAGTTTTAAAGTTCTTTCTTTCTATGTTTTCCTGGGTAAGACAAATACATCGATACTTAATGTACCCCTGAAAATTCTTAATTTCCAACACTGATGTCAACAGCGTCGGTGACGGAACCAGTCCAACACTGTATTTTTCGATACCTACAAAGGCAATGGGTGATTCTGATTCTTACTGCGAGCAACAAAGAGCAGATCTACCTGTTGCCTCCATTTGCACCAAACAGCAATGGGAAGACGTGTGTGTCCCTGAGCCACCAGACAAGCCAGTCAACTCTCCACTGCTTTAGGTCTGTGTAGCTTGATTTCTGTCAAAAAACAAGGCTGAAGAATGGTGGCTGCTTTGGGGCAGGCTGCAGGGGTGCTTGCTGTGGTTAGAGCTGGGCTCCAGTGCATAGTAGGCATCTGATACTGATGCTAAATAGCAGCTCCTGCTTGGAAGTGGCATGAGGATGAGGCAAATCACTGGGTTCCAAATGGAATCTTTACTGCCTTCCATTTCTTTGGAAACACTAATTTGTGAATCCTGATACTAATCAGACTCCCTATCCACACCTGATGCTTGCTGTGACTCGGCTAGTCTCTGATGCGGAGAAAGTGACCTGGCTGAAATGAGAGTGCTCATGTCTCCCCGTACCATTTCCTTCAAAGATCAACTCGCACTGAATTACAGGTTTCCTCTTTCTTCCATGTGGCAGCCTCTTGTCTCCTGACTTTGTCAACCACTGATGACATCTAACAGGCCAGTCCTCACTCAGGACCCTAAGCCAAGGTTCAGCTTCACACCATACTTGGGAGTGCCTTCCTGTTGGTTGGTGCCCTCTGCTCCCACCAGGCAAAGACAGCAAGCAGTGCTCACGTGTGAAGTAGGACCACACAGCTGTGGAGTTCATGGTCATTCCTGACCCTTTATTTCACGCGGACCTTCTTGCCCTCGGGGCTGGAAGGCCCTGCTGTGTGGGCCCGTTTCTGCTGGGGCTTGCTGGTCTCAGCACCGTCTGCTCGCTCCTGGGAGAGGAGCGCCGCCCGCACCAGCCGCAGCTCCCGCTTTTCCCTGCGCTCCTCCATCTCCTCGATGTCACCAGCAAACAAAGCCTTCAGGGGGGCTGTTAACTTGGGGACCGTTGGGAAATCTCCAAAGCAGACCTAAGAAGGGAAAGACGAAGGACAAGGCACACTTCAGGGGTGGGGGGAGGTGAGCTGGAGTGAAGAAATTGCGGGTCATATGAAAAGGCACCACTGCCCTTTCTCATCAACCAATACAGGAAAGGTGTGGGGTGGGGTTCACATGATGAGGGTACACCTGGCGTGAGTGAGATCGTGGGTGTGATCCCTGACACCATGGAGCTTCCCTGAGCACTACTATAAAACAAAAACCAAAATGAAGGCCAGGAGATAGCAGAGCCTTAGGTATGCACCTACTCCCTGGAGGTAAGGCCCCACCGCCAGGCTGGCCTGGGTAACCCCCAGAATTATAGGGGCAGCCGCAAAGCATTCTCAGGCCCTTGCTCTCAACTGCAGGCCCAGCTGGCTGAGAACTGCCAATAGAGGGCCTAGTCCTTCAGAAGACTTTGGGAGCACCCACCCCTCCACCCTTTTGCAAAAGCGGCATGAATTCCCCCTTCCTGGGAAAAGTGGCAAATTGAACAGGCCTCAGAAAAGTCTGTTCCGGGGAGGGAAAGGACCAGTCAACCAAGCTTCCCAGAAGGCCTGTGGAAGGTCGGTCTGGTGGAGTGTGGTGTGATCACAAAGAGCTTTGTATTCGCCTAGAAGGGTCCCAAGCACGCAATGTGTCCATGGGATGTTACCTCTATTTCTAAAGAGCTCTGGTGCCATACAAACCTTCATGTGATCAAAGGCAATTCCAACTTTCTCATTGAAGTCAGGGCTAAAGAGAGGAATCTTAGCGTAGCGTTGGCTGAAGTGGTTCAGCATGATGAACTCCGCATTCATCCGCATCCCCACACCAATTGCTTGAGAGGTAGTGCTGTAAATAAAGAATAAACAAAGGCTGAAACACAATTGTAGGGCAGAACTATAAAGCACAGCCTATAAATACTCAGGCCTAGACTCAATGGGTTCTCAGGGAAGACTAGTAGATTTCCTTATTCAGCACCTTTGGCCAACGCAAACCCTGCCAAGGGTCAGACACTTCAAACACTTTCCCAAAGTCCAGGGTTTGTACTGGTCAAGCTTCCCATCACTAAGGGCACTAAGAAACACTAAGGGACTTCTTAACTTGAGGCAACACTCTTGTTCAAATAAAGCCCTGCGTGCCACTTACTGTATTCAATCCCCTTTATTCTTAGTTTTCCCAGTCCTTTGTAAACCGTTCCTCTTCCCAGAACTTCCTTAGAAAATTGTGCAGAAATATAGGTAGAGGGGCTGGAGCAATAGCACAGCGGGCAGGACATTTGCCTTGCATGCGGTCAACCCGGGTTTGAGTCTCAGTATCCCATATGGTCCCCTGAGCACCACCAGGAGTAATTCCTGAGTGTAGAACCAGGAGTAATCCCTGAGCATTGCTGGGTGTGACCCCCCCCCCCACCCAAATAAACGAAAAATCATTGTCACTATCATTGTCCTCCCACTGTTCATCGATTTGCTCGAGCGGGCCCAGTAACATTGTGAGACTTGTTGCTGTGTTTGGCATATCAAATACGTCACAGGGAGTTTGCCAGGCTTTGCCGTGTGAGCGAGATACTCTCGGTAGCTTGCTGGGCTCTCCAAGAGGGGCGGAGGAATTGAACTCGGGTCGGCCATGTTGGCTGCATGCAAGGCAAACGCCTTACCCACTGTGCTATCGCTCCAGCCCGAGCCAAAAATATAAAAACATTAAAAAGTAAAAGTAGAAGGTGCCAAAATAAAGCAGTCAAGAGCCCGCACAGCCCCGTGGAGGGATAGGCAGTAGGGGCTCAGAGTCACCTAAGGGGAGAAAGAGTGAGTGATAAGAGCTCAGCAGTCCTATTACCTGTGTGTCTTTTCCACAGCCTCTTCCTCCAGGCCATCTTCCAAAGTGGCCTCATGGATCAGGAGGGTGGCATCTTTCCCTATAAATAAGCACAGGAATGGAGTAGACACTTTATCTGAGCTAAACACTTGCTGCCCGGCTTGTTTATCTGTGAGCAGAAATAAGCTGACTAGAGGCTACCACTATGAGCAGAGTCCACTAACTAGAGGTTGCCCAACTGTGAGCAGAGTCAGCTGACTTGACCCACCACTTTCCTTTCCAAGCTCACCTTTATTCCCTCCAGCTCCATAAAGCCCAGAGCATTCATGCTAGTCCCTCTACTCACCCATCTGGACCAGAGCTTCACAGGGCATGGTGTCCCCTGAGTAGACCACTTTCCAGCCAGACGTATGGACCAGGGCACAGCCAAATGCATGTTTGCAGTGCCGGACTAGGCAGGTCTGGAACTAAAGGAGTGGCGAAGGTTCTAGAGATGCCCTCTTATCTCACACTTCCCCCCTCAATCCCTCCACCCTAACAGACAGACTCGTGGATACCCTCCTCACCTCTTCTAAATCACATGTTTCCAACAACAAAGCAATCAACTTTTCAATTGTCGGATTGGAGACCTCAGCTCCCTTTTGAAGGCATTTGGCAGGAATCATACTATAAAAAAAGAAAACATTAAAAATAAACTTGAATCAAAGTTCAAGTGTCTGGCTGGAGAGTGGTAAAAATAAATACAGCAAAGAATACAATGATTTACATTTATGGAGATAAGGAAATATTTGAGTGTAATTAAAAAGCCACAAATCCAAATCTCCAAACCACTGTTAGAAACCTGACAGGTAAACAAATGCTGCCCCTGTGGCAGCTGTCGATGGACCTTCCCACACAGACCATGGAAGGACTCCAGACAACATGGATTCCTTTGGGAGGAAGAAGGGGCCGACTTGCCGCCATTTGTCTGCCTGGTGGGCATAGCCTACGCAGTCACTATTCAGGAAGTAGGCCCTGAAACTATTTCATCGAGAAATACTGGCAAAAGCCTAAAAACTGGAAAAGACAAATAAAGGCCAAGAAAAACACATCAAAGAATATTTAAGTAGGAAGCACCGAACAGTTTCTGTTCAAGTCTTAAGTATTTCTCCTCTCCTTCCATCTGGGACAAGGCTGCTGGGGAATATCACTAACTTCTCAGAAGCAATGGTGTGATGCAAAGGTGAAGGACAACAGCTTTCCTATCAGGCCACAGGTGCTCACCTGATATGCTGCAGAATCTGCTGGCACTGATTGTGGTACTGCTGGAGCCAGGGCTTTAGCTGGGTTGGAGCAACCACTAGCAGAGGGTGAAATGGCTTTCCCATAGTAGCCTGAAAGGAAATCAGACCGGCAAATTGAAGTCTGAAAATCTTCCAAATTATTTAGAGTGGGAGAAAATATGGTTGTTTATTGTGTAATTCACTAAAGCTCAAAATGTCAGTAAAATCAAGTGCTATACTCACCAAAGCTCGTTCTCTCTGCAGCAAAATATTTACCAAACCCTGGGAAGAAAAAAGAAGAAAGAGATTAGTTCCAAACTAAACTTTATTCCCCATATCAGGTTCTTGACTATTTTAACAGTTGCTCCAAGCAGTTCATTGCTGCCATCCTTTAAGAATGTGAACAGAGCCCGCTCCTCTCTGGAAAGAAAGATGGCGGCCGCACGGGAGCCTTGTGGAAAGCAGGTTTGAGCCGGGCTCGGGGGAGCGGCGGGGACCTCATGGGAAGGGGGGCTTTGTGGGCCGTCCCCCACGCCCCACCGAGGTCGCCAGCTGCCCCCCACGAGCGGCTCTCCGGCACGGCCACGACTCCAGGGCACAGAAACCAATCTCTTAACTAGCTAACTTTTAATAGAAATTCTTCCAGGGTCAATAAGTAAAATAGCAGAAATTCAAAACCGCGCAGCCGCGATATCATTTTATTCTTAAACCAAGTTGTAGAAAGCAAATCATTTCACAACGCTGTTTCAGCATGTCTGATTGTGGGGGGTGGGTCGTAAACTCTAAACAATAATTGTGCATCTTCTATCGAAATAATCTATCTAGTCAAAGTAGATAGAGTATTAACTAGAACTCATCTGCCTCACAAGAATTGGGAGGGGTGGGAGGTGGGGGTCTATTGGGGTTCGGGGTTAAAAATGAGTATTGGTAAGGGGAAATGTGTTCGGTATCTACATGACTGAGACCTAGACCCGAAAGCTCTGTAACTTTTCCCACAGTGATTCAATAAATAAACATATTATAAAAAAAAAATAAAATAAAATAAAATAAAATAAAATAAAAAAATGTGAACAGAGCAGACATATGGGGACCTGTGGAACAAGCTTGCTCTAGGAGCCCGAGTCTAACCATACCTAACTAGTATTTTCTCTGAGCACACCTGAGATGGCAAGTTAAAACAAGACCAATGAAGGCAAACTCCTACTTTTGCCTGCTAACCCAGCAAACGAATGTTTTGAGCTAAGCATGAAAGGTCATGACCCATCACAAGTTTGGTAACAGGAGGAATGGAAAGTAAGATACTGCAGAGTGGCAGTTCTTTCCAGGATGGTGCCCTGTGGTCCCCTGGCAACTCACTGTGTGGTGATCTGCATGTAGATGGGACACAAACACAGCAGTGAGTGTGCTCAGGATCCTGTCCACTTCATCCCCAAAGTGACGGCACAGCTGCCCAAATGTCCCTTCGCCACAGTCCAAGAGCAAAGACTTGTCGGAGCTATATAGAGAAAAACAGAGTCATCATCAACAGGAAAGACTTCTAAAGGGTCCGACTTGTGTTTCAGAGAGAGAAGCACTGAGCAGTTGTGGTAATTTTCCTTCCAGAACTTGTCATGCTTTTTCTTTGAGAACTTTATATAAATGTGAAGGCAATTTTAGTGTTTGTCCTCACAGAAAAAGAATTCATGGTCTCTGAAGTCCTTCAAATGTTAAGTTACATAGCACTACACAAATGTCTCACATCAAAAAAGAGCTAGCTTACAATGAATTAAAGGTGCCAAAGTGAGAGTAGTGGATAGGACACCTGACCTACATGTGGTAGACCTGGGTTCAACTCCTGGAACCCCATATAGCCCCTTGAACCCATCAGAAGTGATCCCTGAGTGCAGAGCCAGGAGTAAGCCCTGAGAGCAGCTAGGTAGAGCTCCAAAACAAAAATAAACCTAAAAACATTTCACCAATAATGGCAATGGTTGATATTTTAGTAAGCTGTTGTATATCAGTAATATCAAAGCTGGGTACTGTATACAAGACCTAAATGTCATACATTATTTGGCTTGTTTTTTAGTTTTGGTGCCATACCTGGATGTGCATTGGGTTTACTTTTGGCATGTGCTCAGGGATCATTCCTGGTGGTGTCCACAGTGGACCAGATGCAGTACTGGGGCTCAAAACCAGCTGACTGTATGCAGGGAAAGTCCTTCACCCCTGTGCTATCTCTCTGCCTCCACCACCAGTTTTTGTCTGCTTCTGAGCAGATCTGGTCATGAGTCATGTCCTCACAGCCAACAGTATCAGATGGGCTGTAAGGGCTCCTCCAAGGGAGTGAGTTCATCTGTCTCCCCTATATTCAAGGCTTCGGATCCATTCAGTCTCTAGAATGCTAGAGTTGCAAGGTTTAGCTCAAAAGCTCTTAGCTGCTGACAGGTGGCCCTCTCTGCAACTGTTTTCACATCAGAGTCTGGCCTCCTTTAGGTCTCTCTTTTCTCTGGGAAAAGCCAGGAGGTTGGGGCTACTTGACTCCTCAGATGCCTGATACATTAGTTCTGAGGTGGGGAGCGGGAAGAGCTGGCATAGGAAAGGCAAACTAGTGACAGCACCTTTAAATGAACTGCAGCGGGCTCAAGGCACCACTATCAGGGCTTTGGAAGAAATGCTCTTAAGCATTTCACCCCTGTGGGAGGTGAGCCCATGCAAAGTGCCACCGCATTGGCACTGGATATTCCAGACCTTAAGAAACACACACCATGTGCCATACAGTTCATAATTAGCTTTCAGTTAAAGGCTGAACACACATGAAATACATATAGGCTAGATGTATACTAGTTGTAAAGCTTGTTATTACCCTCTTGGCTTCTGCACATGGGCAAAATGACCTAATAGTATAGCGTGGAACAGATTCCCATCAAGGAAGGATGTGTTGGTTATCAAAGTACATTTTATAACTGCTGTGGACACTTAATGCATTATTTGATCATCATTCACCACTGGCATCTAAGATGACAAAGTAGAATTTAAAAATGAACCTTATTTTCTTCAACGACTTGTGTAGTGAGTAGCAATAGCACAGCGGGTTGCCTTGCACTCAACTGACCGGGGTTAGATTTCTCTGTCCCTCTTGAAAGTCCGGCAAGCTACGGAGAGTATCCAGCCCACACAAAGCAGAGCCTGGCAAGCTCCCTGGGGCATATTCGATATGCCAAAAACAGTAACAAATCTCACAATGGAGATGTTACTGGTGCCTGCTCGAGCAAATCGATGAACAATGGGAGGACAGTGCTATAGTGCTACTTGCGTAGTGAAATGCCTTTGACTAATCTCTCAGTAGAGGAATAACAGCATGCAAACCGCAGTGACTTGACTTAAAGACCATCGAAGAAGCTGAACATAGAGCAAAGCATGAAACATGGAAGGTGTTTCACGCTAGCAGAAACTATAGAGAGAGAAACTGTAGCAATATGATACCAGTTGCCACTTGGATCTGCCTGCTATTGGAACTAGAGTATCAGTTTACTAATAAGTACGATGTGTACTTGCTAAGATTAATTAGACACTGAAATGAGTTCTTCTGTATGAAAGCAAAACAGGAGACAAGCTTCAGTGACTCCCAGCACTTGAAGCTTGACTTGAGGCCACAGAATAATTACTACTTAACACTCCTCTTCAGATCCTCTAGCCAAGGTAAGAAACTGATGAAGTTTTTAGTTAATTTTTTTTTAACTAGCCTGGTAGGCGGATCAAGATTTTAGTTTTAAAAATCTAGTCTTTTTTTCTGGGCAAACAATGATACCTTATGTTGACAAGTGTGGAGCTGACATTTCGAATCTTCATCGGGATGGCAGACCCTGTTCCAAGGAAGATGATTTCTGGATACTGTATTTTCTCTATGGAAAAACACAGGTATATGCATTCACTTTGGAAGTCAGACATAATCCAGCATTTAACCATAAGATGAGCTTATGTCTATCTTCCCCAAAAGTGCTTGTGGACCGACAGTTTTTTTGTGTGAGTAAAGGGCAATCTGGAAGAGGAGAGCAAATGAAAAATAGCCTCTTCTTCAAGAAAGTAAAACATAACATCTCTGTACTGTGAATTGGCATTTATCAAAAGGACTGGCTTCTGCAGTGCATCCAGCACTTTCTAAGGTTAAAAAAAAAAAAGCCCCAATCTATAAGGCAGGAACAGGCTGAGAGAAGCTTCTCACAGACAGACAGGAAGAAATAAGCCAGGATTCAAATCCACTACGACTGGGTTCTGAAACAGATGTCCCTTCCATGGTCGCACCCAGCCTAACAAGGCCCAATAGGCACATTTGCAAGATTTTTAATTGCTTTAAGCTAAAACCAAATAATTAAGCATCAACCCAGGGAAGTAAGTTTTCCCAAAATATAGATGATAGTCCATGAGGAAAGATAGTGAAGATTTCCACTTGCCTGGCATATGCTGATCTCCACAAAGAGCCCAAGTTTGGGAAACCTAGCTAAATTAAACCTCCAATCCTACTGTCTAACAATCTTATTATTAAATATCAGTTGAAAACAGAATGAGACAACCAACTACTGGGGCAAAGCTTATGAAGTACCACTAACTAATCTACCTGACAGGACAATGAAAGCCCAACAAGTAGAACAAACAGTCAGAACCTTCCATGGACATTCTGGGGGAAACCAAATCTAGACCCTAAGATGAGCAAAGACCTTTCCACACATCTCTCAGGAGTCCCCAAAGTCAAGTGAGCCTTTAAATACTAACAGTCACTCACTCCCATTTAACTGGTCTGGGAGGGGGACAGGCATTGTTTTTTTTTGTTTTGTTTTGTTTTAAACAGAGAACAAAGTACTGGATTAAATACGGAAAGCTGGTTAGACTTTGCCATGCTAGCCTTCCACTTGGTGCTATGCCAAAAGGAGGCCATGGCCAGAGGAGGAATTCTCCAGCCTTCCCTTACCTCCTGGGCTGGAGGCACGCTGTACAGTCTTCCTGTATTCCTGCACACTCTCCTGAAAATTGGGGATCTCAAGGGCCTCAGCTACAAACTCTTCAGGATTGCAAGTGATAATGGAATCTCTGCAGAGAGAAAAGCATCCAAAGTCACGAATGTGGGTGAGTTGTATCACCAATTTGGATATCCAGAATCAAGGCTTAGAGTCATCAGCAGAAAGTCCTTTAGAATCAAGAGGAAAGACTAAGCAACTAAGACCTAAAGCAGTTCTGCTATCTTATATAAAACTCTTCTCAGGTAAGGAAAGACCTCAAGAACTCTGAATAGTTTTAACATATGAGAGCATTTCTTTGTTATATTTGGGGGTCTGATCTAATGGTGCTCAGGGGTTATTCCTGGCCCTACACTCAGGAATTACTCCTGGCAGGCTTGGGGAACTATGTAGGGTGCCAGAGATCGAAACTGCGTTTGCCTCAGGCAAAGTAAATGCCCTACCTGCTTTACTACAGTCCAGTCCCTCACATCAGAATATTTCTACTCAGTGTCTAACAAGCCTGGTAGAGTTGACATCTGGGGTCCTCTACAGCATCCCTGACATCTATATCTGCTAGCATCTTCCCCCAAGGAGAACAGGAAATAGAGGAAGGCAAAACCTCTCAACTGAGACTCAAGTGCATCCCTGAAAACCCCTTGGAAATAGATGCAGGGCATTGGTGCTCCAGGCAGGGCAGTAGCAGCGCAATGCTGCTGGCCCTGCCACCGTGTGTAGCCATCTCTGGATCAGTGGAGCTGGTACCTAAGGAGCTGACCGAAGGAGGCCTAGGCCTGACTCTCAAGGATGGAATTTGCCTATGTCAGTCACCGTGTTTCAGTTATGCAGATGCTGACAAAGGGATCACAAGCTTTATAGTCCCAAGATATCATCTCTGCACCCTAGTCATACAACACAGTCAAAGAGCTCCATCAACAGCACAAAAATATCAACAGCAATCTGGAACACGTATTATGCAAACAAAGATACAACGAAGTGAACAGGAAAATGTCAGATTATTCAAGAATAAGACCCTAAGATTTAGAGTGTGTGGGACACACCTTCTATCATTAGAGTGTACTCTTTTTAGAAAGGATTTTATGTGTACCAAGTTTTTCGTAAGTTTCAGATGGAATCAATAATCCCATGTTTGACAATTATTCCTAAGGGAGAATTCAAAATAGATTTATACATTAGCTGTTTATTATTTCACTGAGACAATTAAAAAATTGAAAATGTCTTAAATAAAATATCCCTATCTCAAAGACCAATAAAAATCTTGCTGCTGAAAATCATATATTGAAACAAAGACTTGTTTCAAACCACAAAGCTACACATACATTTAAAATACACACATATATGAGGCTGTAACAATAGCACAGCGAGCAGGTAGGGCGTTTGTCTTGCACGCAGCCGACCTGGGTTCAATTCCCAGCATCCCACATGATCCCCTGAGCACTGCCAGGGGTAATTCCTGAGCGCAGAGCCAGGAGTAACCCCTGTGCATCGCCGGGTGTGACCCAAAATGCAAAAATAAATAAATTAAATAAATAAATAAAATATACACATATGGAGCTGAAGAGATAGTACAGCTGGCAGGGCATTTTTACCTTGCACAGTACTGACCTAGGTTGGATGCCCAGCACGCCATAGGTCCCAAAACACCACCAGGAGTTATCTCTAAGCACAGAGCCAGGAATAAGTAAATCTAGAGTACCCCTCAGGTGTAGCCCCAAACCAAAAAGCCCAGCAAAATCAAAACACACATAGCACACCCCTATTAACTCAGAGCTTAAAAAGGAGAACAGGAAATAGAGGAATCTATCTACTATCTCAAGGTAATGAGACAATGGGATTCCTCCATATACCTATTCTCTATAAATAATAAACAAATATCACTGTTTAGTATCAGGGAACATTTCCAACAAAGGATAATAATTATCCCAAATTTTGCTACCTCAACCCAGCTAACGATCAGTCTGATTTAATTTATTCTTTTATTACTGTTTGTGATTCTTTCATGCTACAATGGCAGAGCTAAGGAGCTGTGACAGAGACTACATGGCCTGCAAACCTGGCTCTTTCCAAAAAGAGCTCACTAACCCATCTGAAGTCATTCCATCAGCTACAAAACTGTACACACCTTTGCCATTCCCTCCGAGGGCGGAGCTGATACTTGAGGAGGCATTCACCTCGAACTATGGGCACATTGAAGGCTGCACCAGCTTCCTAGCGGAGAGAAAATACATACCAGGTGGGGGTAAAAAACACACAGCAGGGGCCAGGCCACTAAGCCCATCCTATGACCCTACCTTACAGTTGAAACTGGTGAGTGCTGGGAAGATGTCAGGGTGGATGAGGTTGAGTTGTGTTTGAATCTTGTGGCTGCGGAGGTTGTGAACCGATGTACAATTCTCATTCAGGATCAGGTGCTGGGTGTCAGGCCCAAACCTAAGAGGAAACAGACTGCATACTCACTGTGCTTTAGGAAGTATTCTGTCCAGCTGGTAGCACTGGAGACTCAGGCAATAAAGTGTTCAAAGAAAATAAGTTTGTCCTCTGAGCACAGTGAGGTATGGTATATTAACCATCTTCTCCACCACTCCCCAAAAGAAGTGATTTGTGTACAAAGGCTAATTCTAAATGGCTAAACTTAACGCAACTATTATCTCTTAATTCAAATATCTCTGGATATGGAGTAAAGATAATAAACATTTAAAAGCCTACATCAATTAGCTCGAGCAGGCCCAGTAACATTGTGAGACTTGTTACTGTGTTTGCCATATCGATACGTCACGGGGAGCTTGCCAGGCTTTGCCGTGCAGGCAAGGTACTCTCGGTAGCTTGCCGGGCTCTCCGAGAGGGGTGGAGGAATCAAACTCAGGTCGGCCATGTGGGCTGCATGCAAGGCAAACACCCTACCCACTGTGCTATCGCTCCAGCCCAAAAGCCTACATACAACCAGGAATTCAGAAACAAAATGGCTTCCAGGGCAAAAGAGAAGGCATAATGTATACCTTTCAATACCACAGAAGAGGAAGTAACAACGTATGTTAACACTGAAGTCCTAAAGGAATATAAGACAACAGACAGTTAAAGAGCAAGAAATTATCAGGGTTAATGATGAAAGCCTTAACCCTGATAGTTTAAGAAGGGAGAGATCTGAGAGTAATAGGAGTGGAGGCTGAGATGCAGAGAATTTGCATGGGTGCTATAAATGTTAACTCAGGTAACTCCTGTACCCAATGATGGCCATGGGCAAAAAAGCCAAGAGGAAAAAGTGATCTCTCCTTCCACTTACTAATTTTGGGTAGATCAAAGGCCTCAGAGGATTGTTGAAAAGATTAAAGAAAATATAGTCTTCAACATACTATCAATGTTCAGTAAATGCAGCTCAATAAATTAAGCTGTAATTTTATACTCACAAGTTTATTCTCTAGGATTTATGCATGAAGCTATCAACAAAAAGGAAAGTCAGGCTAGAGAGATGGCACAGCAGGTAAAGTGCTTGCCTCGCATGTGGCCGACCCAGGTTTAATTCCCACACCATGCATGCTGCCTCTGGCCTGGCCAGGGTCACCCTTGAATGCAAGCACCCATCCCCCAAAAAACAAACAGACACTTAGTGTGAAGAAGATGAAAACGATTTAAAAAAAAAAAAACACTCAGTCCCAGGTCATAGACATGCTTAACTGTCAGCCAGGGGTGGTGTCTCTTCCAGATGGAAGTTCCCATTTGCCTTTCTGACAGAAAGGTAGCAGAAATCCCAGAGAAAATCCAGGCAAGTGAGAATGTTGTGCTTAAAAGTTGTCATACCCAGTAGTGTTGCCCCTTCTTCCCACACATGCTACTCAACACCCGTACCTCTCCATCCACTGCTGGTATCTGCCATCCGCAAGTACACTCTCTGGGGCCATGTGAGCCACCAGGGCCACAGTGGTCTCAGCTTTCCCTTGGTACCTGGATAGATGAAAGAGTGGAGCTTTGCTTTGCAAAATGATATGAATTCAACACAAACAAAGACTATACAGCTAGGAAAGCGGCACTTTTCTCTCTCATGGGGACTGCAGTGAGCCAACAGGAAATACTAAGCATTCTTGCCAGACCAGTCTCTCCTGGACTAGAACCTGAGTACTGAAATGGGAATCCCATTCTGCAAGATCTCCTGCCTGAGTCTCTCAGGCTGCTGGAGATGGAGGCTCTTTTTATCCCTTCTTTTCACAGGTGTCAGATCTGCAAAATAGGACAAGCTCTTCCATTTCCCCCTCCTGCTCCCACTCTCCCTCATCTGTGTTTGTTTTGTGGTCACACCCAGGAGTACTCAGGGCACTGGTTCTACATTCAGGGATTATTTCTGGTGGGCTCAGGGAACCTGGGGTGCTAGGGATCAAACCCAGGTTGGCCATATGAAAGGAAAGTATTCTAACCGCTGTTATATCTCTCCACAGCCCCTCTTCTCTAACTTTTACATGTATTTCTTCTTACAAATCTGACTCCGCCTTTATGTCTGCCTTCCAGAAGATCTAATGCACAAGTTTTAAATCAATTTCAACTCTACCATTTAGAGAAGCAATTACTAAAATAGTTCATTTCATTCTAGTGTCCTTTAAAAAAATAGTAACTGTTTCTCTCTGACTCTGATCCCCTCACACACATTTACACACACACACACACACACACACACACACACACACACACACACAGATTATGGCTATTTAAACCTGAAAACAACATATGAATGTACATGGCTCTTGGCTTACATCCAATTAACAGTGACTTGAAGTAGTTTTACTTCAAGCTTGTTGGCCAGCTACTCTGCCAATGGCCAGAATAAAGCATAAGGCCCGTGCATCCAAATTCACCCAGGGATAGATATAGAAAGATTGCACTCATCTGGGGAACATAAAGTAACAAAATAGGAGACTAACACCCAAGAGCGGCCGAGATTAGTACCAGGAGGTTTGATCCATGGCTTGGAGGCCAGCCACACATGCTAGGAGAAAAGGGAGCTCGGAGAAGGGAGCACCAAATAAAGGGTGTTGGGAGGATCGTCCCAGGATGGAAGAAGCATGCTGAAAGTAGACTATAGACCAAACATGACTGCCACCCAATGCCTCTTTTGCGAACCACAATACCCAAAAGGAAAGAGAGAACAAAAGGGAATGCCCTGACACAGAGGCAGGGCGGGATAGGAGGGATGGGGGGTGGGAGGGATACTGGGACCCGTGGTGGTGGAGAATGGGCACTGGCGGAGGGATGGGTATTTGATCATTGTATAATTGAAATTAAATCCAAGCACAAAAATTTGTAAGTCTACAACTGTACCTCATGGTGTTTCACTAATAAAAATTAAAAAAAAATTTCATCCAGGGAGAATTAAATGAAACCCAAGAACTTCTAACACTAACACTAACTTAAACGTTATAGGGGCTGGCGCGATAGCACAGCGGGTAGGGCATAACCCTTGCACACAGCCAATCCGGGTTCAATTCCCAGCATCCGATATAGTTCTCCGAGCACCTGCAGGAGTAATTCCTGAGTGCATGAGCCAGGAGTGACCCCTTTGTGACCCAAAAAGCAAAAAAAAAAAAAAAAAAGTTATAGATTAACTGCTTATAAGAATTTATTTGACACTCAAAAAGCTCAACAAGAGTCAGAGACATAGAACAGTGGGTAGTGCGCTTGCCTTGAATGCAAACAACCGGATTTCAATTACTGGAACCCCATATAATCCCTCAAACACCTCCAGAAGTAATTCCTGAGAGCAGAGTTAGGAATAAACCCTGAAAATTGCTGGGTGTGGCCCAAGAGAAAAAAAAGCTCAACAAAAAAAATCCAACAATTCCATCCACAAATGAGAAGAGATGAAGACAAAATCCCAAAAGACATACAGATGGCCAATAAGTACATAAAAAAAGTGCTCAACATCACTTATGCTTAGGAAGTGCAGATCAAAATGACACTACTCTATCATCTCATACCAGTAAGTGTGGCATGGCAAAGTCTAGAAACAGCCATTGCATGGTTTCTGCCCACTACAGGGCTAGTGAGAAGGAACCCTCACTCACTGTTGGCAGGAATGTTGTTCTACCTCTTAGAGAAAGCAAAATGGAGATCTTTCAAACAGTAGAATAAAAGTCACAACCAACCAATGATAACACTTCCTGGCATCTATTTCCCAAACACAAAAATATTAATTTAAAAGGATAAATGCACACCTATATTATCAAAATACTAAGACACAGAAATAAGTTAAATGTCCAACTACGGATGTACAGGTCAAGTTGTGGCACATAGACACAACAGAATACCACATAGTTCTAAGAAAGGACTAAATCACGCAATCTGCCATGACACATACAGAACTAGAGAACATCATGCTGAGTGAAGGCAGTTAGATGGAAAGAGACAAATATAGAATGGTCTCACACATGTAGGAGATGTAAATGCAGCGGAAGGAGCAACAACAGACAACAGGCCATAGAACCAGAGTTAGTCCACAGAACTGAATTTGGGGTGTGGGAGTGCGGGGAGGGAAAGTCTTTGGGACCTTGGCAGGAAGTAGGTGCTCTGGTATTGGGGTGCAATGAGTATGCACAAGAACATTATTAACAGTACTGTGAATCACAGTACTTCAATAAAGACCTTTTAAAAGGAATTGTTTTTCTGTTTTTATTTTTTTGGAGTCACCCCCAGCAATACTCAGGCTTACTTCTGGCTCTGAATTCAGGGATTATTTCTGGTGGTGCTCAGTTGACCATATGAGGTACTAGGAATTAAACCTGGGCTAGCCACTTGCAAGGCAAACAACCAGAATGCTGTACTATCTCTCCGGCCCCCAAAAAGAAATTTATTGTACCTAATACAATGAAACACTTAAAAAATGCAAAATATTAAAATTAGAAATGGAAAAATAACAAAAACATATAGGACGTTGCAAAGAATAAACCATTAAGAATGGGAAAAATTAAAACACAGATGTTTGAGTCAAAGATCCCACTCAAGATTAAACCTGAATTATGAAACAGGTCAACTTATTTGGAGGACAAAAGAGAATGGATTGAGGTCATCAGAACATTAAATCACAAATGTTTCGAATTGAGATTCTGCCTCTCAACACTGACCCTTAACCAAGACCATCTCAAAGGCTTCAAATCTTAGGCTGGAGTGATAGCACAGCAGGTTGGGCACTCGCCTTGCACAAAGACAACCAGACTTCAATCCCTAGAGCCACACTGGTTCCGAGTCTGCCAGGGGTGATCCCTGAGTGCAGAGCCACGAGTACGGCTTCAACATTGCCAGGTGCGGCCCCTAAACTGTCATACAAACAGAAAACCACCCTACCTTAGTGTAAATGTAAGTGGGAAAAATTCACTTTAGCAAAAATAAGCCAAATAATGAGACAGGGTACTAGTTAGACTATAAGAGCTTTCTAGAATTTATCCAAACTTAGAACTCTAATTGGCAACTGACTGTGCAGACTACTGTGGCCTCATTCTTCTAATTTCACCTTCAAGGTTATAGTCACGAGAGAATCTCGTAACTACAGGAGTGACCCTAAGGCCAGAGATGGGTCTGAGCATTTCAGAATCAGACTGTGGGCAGCACTCTACCTGGGGTGGTCAGCAGTCAGGGATATGCCCATGTCAGTGCTGGTGTTCGTGAGCCTACGTGGTCTCCCCCTTTCCCCACACAGAGTCCGCATTACCTCTTGAATGCGGCATTCTCACAGATGGGCTGAATGTATCCTTCATCTGGACATTCTACCACAATAAAAGCAACACCCGGATCCGGAGGAGTACAGATCTCTTCAGGCTGAATCTGTAAGGCCAATAGGGTCATGATGTACTTCTCAGATCAGGGTCACAACTCGAAAGCATGTCCAGTGGCCTTTCAGTGGACTGCTAACATTGTGACCATTACTAGCAAGCGCAAACCAATTAAAGGTTCTACCTAGGGCCTTCCTCTTAGGCCAGCAACTGGCTCACAGAGACTATTTCAAACCTCTATGGCCATCAAGTCAGGCTTTGCCAAAGGCTAATCCTGTGGCCACTCTTACTTAAATCACTCAAGAAAATAGCTCAGTGATGAGTCTGACAGCATTCCTTTGAACATCTATCCAGTCTCCAAATCCATCTTTATGGTTCTGCTGTTGGACATCAGCCTGAGTTCAAGTACAAGGAAAAATACCCATCCTTACGAGGACCACCAGATCCAAAACCAGCCAGCATTGACATGCAGAACAAGTCTACATAAAAGACCCCATTCAAGCAACTAGACCAGTGGTGAAATCCAAGCTGTTTGACTTCACTCAAAAGTGGCTTCTAAAGAAGCTAAGCCAAAAAAGTAGTTTTGTTCAATACTCTAGACCCTAACGTAACTGCTGAAATACGAAAATTGAAAAACTCACCTCTCTTCCTTCATAAGTGACACTCTTCCCATCTTTGACAGCAGCAATGATGGGGGCAATGGCTGCTGTCCCACTACAAAGAAGAGGCAAGTCCTCTGTGAGATGAGGAAGTTTATTTACTAAGGTTACCTATGAATCCCTAATATTTGTACCCCCACTCACACTGGGAGGCCCAGCTCCTTTGCTCTGAGTACCAAAAAGCTTCCTTTCTTCACATGAAGCTGCAACAAAAAAAACTTAAATGTAACTTCAGTGACTAAAATGACTAATTCAGTTTTAATAAATTTCCTTATAAGTGCAACATTCTGATTTCTTTCCTTACAATTGATAAGATGCAGGTAAAAGTTACTACATTCAATAAAGTATACTATATTCTGAAAAAGAAACACTGATTTCAAATGCAGTCATGTTTTCCCATACTAAGTCACCCTATGTTTAATAAAATAGTCTATTTCTATATCAAATAAAAAGTATTTTTTACATATCCTTGAGGACAAACACTGTGCTATCACCCCATCCTTTTCAATTATAAGCAATATCACCTCAGAAATGATTATACAAATCACTATATAACAGTATTATAATGACATGGATAAGAAAATAAAAGAATAAAATTTTTTGTTTTTCCACGTATTTGGCAATATCAAAATACACAAACTTGGGCCAGAGAAATAGTACAGTGCATATAGGGAACTTTCCTTGCATGGGGCAGACCTGGGTTTGATCCTGGCACCCCATAAGGTCTCCTGAGCCTTACCAGGAGTGATCCCTGAGTACAGAGACAGAGTAATCCCCAAGCACTGCCTGAAATGGCCCAAAATAAACAAAGAGCAAGAGAACTGTGGGATAAATTAAAGAGGAACAACATAGGAACCATCAGACCCTGAGATCAAGAAGGCATTCAAATAAAGAATTATTAGTCAAAGAAATTACAGCCAAGGAGGCCCAGAGCCATACTGCAGCGGGCAGGGCATTCATTCGCCTTGCACATGGCCAACCAAGGTTCAATCCCTGGCATCCCCTGTGATTCCCTAAGCACCACCAGGAGTAACCCCTTAGGATCACTGGATGTGCCACCTCCACCTCGCAAAAAAAAAAAAAAAAAAAAAAATTGAGATCATAGTCAAGATGTTTCTAGAATTGAGGCGTGCACATATTCAGATTTAAGAAGCACAAAAGGGGGGCTGGAGTAATAGCACAGCGGGTAGGGTATTTGGCTTGCACATAGCCGACTTAGGTTCGATTCCCAGCATCCCATATGGCCCCATGAGCACCACCAGGAGTGATTCCTGAGTGCAAAGCCAAGTGTAACCCCTGAGCATCGGTGGGTGTGACCCAAAAAAGAGAAAGGAAAAAATAAAGCACAAAAGGTACCATCCAAATGAGATCCAAATAAAAATACTACAAGACACATCATAATCAGAATAAGGAAAGCCTAAGACAAAGAATACTGAAAGCAGTCAAAATCTAAGAAGGAAATTACATATAAAGGAACTTCCTTAAGATTCACAGTAGATTCATCTTGCAGACCTTAAGAAAATGGTAGGCTTAGGGTTGGAGCAATAGCACAGCGGGCAGGGCATTTGCCTTGCACGTGGCCGACCCGGGTTCGATTCCCAGCATCCCGTATGGTCCCCTAAGCACCGCCAGGGGTAATTCCTGGGTGCAGAGCCAGGAGTAACCCCTGTGCATTGCCGGGTGTGACCCAAAAAGCAAAAAAAAAAAGGTAGGAGGTAGGATCTATTTAAAAATAAACTCAATTAAATAAACACCTCACAAGAATAATCATCCAGCCAAACATTTAGGTTTGAAGGAATGATACAGAGCTTACAGACAAGCAATAGATCAGTAACTAAAGTCAAATCTGGAAACAACCCAACTGCTCAAGAGCAGATGATATGGATAAAAAAACTATAATACATAAACAGAACAAAATACCACTTGGCTTAAAAAAAAGAAAGAAACCAATTTGCGATTTGGATGTGGAGATTACCATGCTGAGTAAAGTTAGGCAGAAGGAGGGGGTAGACACAGTATGACCTCTCTCATATGTGGGTATATAGAGAAACATAATATAATGGTATAATGCCCAAAGGCAACAAAACCTGAGAACTTGGTTTTTTGTTGTTGGTTGTTGTTGCTGTTGTTTTTAAATCATCACGAATTAGTTATCAAGTTATTCATGATTTAGTTTCAGGCATTAGATATTCCACCACCAATTCCTTCACCAGTGTCGACTCCCCTCCACCAACTTCCTAGTTTCCTTCCCACACCCTAGCCTGCCTCTAGAAACAGCAGACACTTTCCCCTCCCACCACTGTCTTAGGTGTTCCCTTCCCTGACTTATCCACCCCCAACACACACACACACACACACACACTCTCTCTCTCTCTCTCTCTCTCTCTCTCTCTCTCTCTCTCTCTCTCTCTCTCTCTCTCTCCCCAGTGGTAAGCTTCCTACTGAAGAACAGTTCTCCTATTCTTCATTTCTATTGCCTTTGGGGTTCTGTTATTCCCTACAAAGTTTCTTTATATTCTAAACATCAGAGAGATCATTCTATATTTGTCCCTCTGCTTTTGACTAACCACTCAAAATGATACTCTCCAGATCCATCCACAGAACCGGCTCTTGTAGGACGTTTACCACAGGAAACAGTTTGGGGAGGGGCAATTATAGTATAAGGATCATCGAATCAATGGTTGGGGGAAATGGATACTCTGGGAGAGGGTGTGATGAGGGCCTGTATTATGAAGGAAACCTTATCATTAACAATAGGGTAAACCAGGGTGGAACGATAGCACAGCGGGTAGGGCGTTCACCTTACACGCGGCCAACATGGCCGACCCGAGTTCGATTCCTCCGCCCCTCTCGGAGAGCCCGGCAAGCTACCGAGAGTATTCGATATGCCAGACACAGTAACAACAAAGTCTCCAATGGAGACGTTACTGGGCCCGCTCGAGCAAATCGATGATCAACGGGAGGGCCTTTACCTTTACCTTTTAGTGTCTAAAATAAAAATTTTACTGTTTATTGTAAATTGTTTACTGTTTAGTGTAAAATGTTTAAAGAAATAAAAATCCGTAAAAAAATACAATGTATGGTCTTAGCACAGAGTAGAAAAAATATTTATTGCAGATATTATAAAATAATTATAATGCAAATTCCTATTAAAAACAGGTCACTACTAAAGGTATGCTTGCTAATGCAGCCACAAGATAATCTCCCTTTCCCCATAAAATTCTCCCAGAATTTTAGTAGTTGGGGAAGGGGCATACCTCCAGACTGCACAAGGAACCCTGGTCAAGCAGTGTAGAACCCCAACAGAGTGGGCGAATACCGTAATCCCCGAAGAGCCTATTGGTAACAACCCCTATGTAATGTCTCTGAAAAGGAGTTCAGAGTGGAAATTATTAGGATATTTAACGAGCTCAAAGAAACATTGGAACACACATCCAATAAAACAAAAAAGACACAAGAGCAGAAATTAGAAAACTAGAAACAGAAATGACATATCAGAAAATTTGGTAGGTGAAATAAAAACCTCACAGGAAGGCCTCATTGGCAGAGTAACAGCTGCTGAGGACAGAATCAGAGAATTCCAGGACAAGGTACAGAAAACCTTCAGCCAATAGCAGAAGATACAGAGAAAGTCACAAAATAAATGAATAGATGACAAAAGAGCTTTGAGATGAATAGAACAGGTAAGAATAATCAAGGGGGGCTGCAGAGGTGGCACAGCGGGTAAAGCACTTGCCTTACACGCGGCCGACCCTATTTCAATTCCCAGCATCCCATATGGTCCCCTGAGCATCGCCAGGAGTAACTCCTGAGTGCAGAGCCAGGAGTAACCCCTGTGCATCACCAGGTGTGACCCCCCCCCACCCAAAAAAAAAGAATCATCAAGGACGCTGAGGGCCAGGAAGACAACCCTGATAAAGAAGCAACAGTAAAAGACATCACTGCTAAGAAGTTCCCAGAGCTGAACAGTAAATACATGCAAAATGAGATCCAGTAAAAATGGTAGTCAGTAGGAAACATACCATCTGAGGGGGCTGAATAGAGCAAAGAGGGGACACTGACTCTAGTGAAGGAAGAGCAAAGGGAGGAAATCAGCAAGACTACAGTAAGCTACCATGCAAAAACTTACAGATTTTGAACAAGTGCCCTCCGAAGTGATAGTACAGGGGGTAAGATTTGTGCCTTACACGAAGCTGACCCAAGTTTGATCCCCAGCACCCCGTATGGTTCCCCGAACACCATCAGGAATAGCAAGGAGCAACCCCCAAGCATTGTTGGGTGCAACCCTACCCCCCTTAAAAGATGCTATTTAAAAAATGCCCCTTGTAGACGCACACTGGTGGGTGGGAAGTAATGGAGAAGGAAGGGTAATTGATGTAGGAAAGTGAGAACTAATGAAGGGACTGTGCTGAAAAATGTATGCCTGAAACTTACTCATGAGTAACTTTGTAACTTCATGTATACTAATAAAAAAGTTTAAAAAAAAATTTAAGAAGTTAAATAAAAAATTGGCCATGAATCAGCTCTGAAAAATACATTACAAAATTCTCAAGTATTTGACCAGCTTCTAATTTGCAGATTCAGACCAGTCTGAACACTACTCAATTTTAAAATTAACCTGTTATCAGCTTAACAGCTACAGTGACTATACACTAAATTAGAGTTGAATGAGTCAAACAAAAACCTGATTCATTTGAAGAAGAATAAAACTGCTTTTAGCTACTTCTGATTCCCAATAGAATTGAACAAATAAATATAAGACTATGTAGGTATATACAACAAACAGAGACAGAACACAAGGTAATTTAGAAAGTATAGGTGGGATACTGAGAAACATAGTACCTGGCTTTGTGACTGGCACAGACAACTAATGGGCAGCTAGTTTCACATTGTTTAAAACTTTTAAAGGATAAAAGGTAAAGTCAACAAAAGATTCTTACCTTACAGACAAAAGCTACAACCAAGGAGGGGTCCCTGCCACTTGTCTCCTGGCTAACACCTAAGGAAAACCAGATGACATTAAAGGTAAATGTGAAGGTTTATAGGCATCACCAATCTTATGTGATCCTATAATCATCTGTGACATTAAAAAAAATAATTGGTTATAACAATCACAGTATAAAAGCAGAAAACACTGAACTTGTTCTCAAATAAACGCTTCCTCTACTGTTGAGATATGTTTGAGCAAATGAAACAAATATGAAATCAATAAAATGCTACCTAAAAAACTCTTTACCCCAGCAGCAGCTATGAGTGTCCGGCCTCCGATGTCCACACTGTGACTGAGGAATGACTGGACGCGCCTCCCCCTCAACGCAGAGTCACCCACCAGGTCCCTGGGCCCTAGGCACGGCTGCTCCTTCCTGAACATGCCCCAGTTTGTTCATCTCTCGGTTTTGGGCTTGCTTGCCCCGCTCTATGACACACTGTGAGGTTGTTGCCCATCTCACTTTTGAATTGCACTTTTTAATAAATATTTGTACCAATTAAAAAAAAAAAACCCTTTAGAAGCTAAGTAAAAATTTTTAGCGTCTAACACCTTTTATGATACTACACTTGATCTTGGCCAATTATGAGGCTGGAGCAATAATAGCATAGCAGTAGGGTGTTTGCCTTGTGCTCAGCCAGCCCGGCCAAGCCAGGTTTGATTCCTCCGCCCCTCTCGGAGAGCTCAGCAAGCTACGGAGAGTATCTCATCCACATGGCAAAGCCTGGCAAGCTACCCATGATGTATTCAATATGCCAAACACAGTAACAACAAGACTCAAAATGAGGACATTACTGGGCCCGCTAGAGCAAATCGATGAACAATGGGAGGACAGTGCTACCTTTTATGAGGGGCCAAGAAAGAAAAACCAAGTTATACTTTATAAACAAACATGAAAATATGTGAAATAACACAAAAGCTAAATGTTCTATAGAGAAAAAAAATGTGTGTGTCAGTATTCACCATTTTAACTAAGACAGCTTACAAGGGTTAGCCTCTCTTAGCTCATCTGACAGAAATGATGTCTGGGGAGAAAGAGAAACTTATCAAGCTCTGACCCAGTGTTAGAAAACAAAATCTTTAAGCAGTCCAATTTCTTTAAGATATCTAATCTTGGAAGTGATTAGACTTCCAGGTTGTCAGTTGGAAGAAAGTTGCCTAACTGCTGTTTTATAGCTTAGCACTTATTAATTTCTTTTATAATACAAAATTAACCTATATCATGAAAAGTGAAAAAAAATCACTGTATGAATCAGTGTGCTAGGCTGACTTCTGCTGGAACAGAGACCTGCAGAATACTATTCAAAGCTTCTCTCTGCACCTTTATGAAAAAGTTAGCCACTCCTCAGAGGCCAAGTGCAAACATTGGAAGGAATATCATACTTACACAGAGCTTGAGTGACACTCATCATCATTATAATTTACAGCATTAAGAACCTATAGATTAAGAATACAAAATTCTCTCAACTGTGCACCATTTTGCTTAAATACCATTACCTTCTGGAAGGTGCTGCTCATTTTCAGATGACATGGAATCAGAAGACTGCTCCGCACTGAATCTTTCTGGACTCTGTGATGGCTGGTGCTGTCCATGCTTCTGTTTACCTGGTTGGTACAAGAAACAATCAAATCACCCGGTACTAGAGGAGAGCTCACAGTTAAACTCCAGACTATCACATAGATCAAGTTCCCTAAATCAGAAGCCTCCAGCATGACAGCATGAAGAACCAGTAACTCTTAACCTGGAACTCTGGACTAGATTCATATCTTTACTGTTCTGGTCAGCTGAGAACCCTGAGTACAGAAGGAACACAAGTGTTTGCCAACTAAGAAGCAATAAGCAGCTTTATTCATTATCAACACTCAGTAAAAATTTCAATCTGAAGAATATAATCTTGCAGTCAGTTAAGTCTAAAGATGTAGAAAAGGAAAACCACTGGTCAGAATTGCCACAAAGCTAATACAACAGTACAGTTTGTTCTCTGCTCTTTCCTGATGCTCAGTCCGTTAGTGCCCACTGGGTGAGGTTGGGAAAGGCCCACAAGGTCAGTGAGGTGGGTTCTGATCACACAAATATATGCAAACAATTCCATTCTGGAGGCATCGTGTTGATGGAGGAAAGTGAGGGAAGAGAAGGCAAAGAAGAAAATACAAAGAGCAGCAGAATATAACCGGTTGGGGAAGCCTGGTAAGGTGGGGTGAGGATTTTCAGCATTTGAAGGTGGTAAGAAAAAAACAACTGCCTAGAAGTTTAGCCAAGCAAAAGGGGTGCCAATCAGAACGACTGTCTCATATCCATACCCTCACTGCCCTTCTAACTGAATTTTTTTCTCTAGCAGGTCTAAAACTGCTCTGGTCTTTGTTTAGACTCTCTTGTCTGAATCCCACTAGCACTTGGAAAATATCAGGCAAGTCCATCAATGAAGTATCACACTGCCTACATCCTAAAGTCTGTAAAAGCTGATTTGGAGAGTATTTAGCCAGTCTCCACGTTCATATGGTAGAGCCATGCCATATGGGACCCTTAAGTTTCCTTTGACCTTCTAGCTTTCTAACAATACTGTTATTAAGTTCCAGTGTTAGTTGCTTTTTGTTTTTAAGTTCATCTCTGCAAACCCATCCAAAAGCTCTCTGATAAACTTTCAGTGTTAATAGTGCAAACCACAATGCCCAAAAGAAGAGAGAGAGAAAAGAGAGAACAGAGAGAACAGAAAGAGACAGACAGAGAGAGAGAGAGAGAGAGAGAGAGAAAGAGAGAGAGAGAGAACACGCGACCTGGGAAATGTACACTGGGAAATGGAGGTGATGTAGGCAGGTAGACAGGGATGGAGGTGATGTAGGCAGGTAGACAGGGAAAGGCCCTTGGCAATAAAACTTAGGTGAACAGAACTTCTGGGAGGAAAATCCTAAGACTGATCCACCCTGTCGATATAGAAAACAGACCTGAGAAGACTTTCAGCAGACCCTGAGGAGGTTGGACCCCTCCCCATAGTTCCTTAAACCCTTGGAACTCTCCCTTAATCTGATTAAATGGGATCCAGCCCCAAGAAGACTCCAGAAATTCTGGATCAAGACAACCTGAGAAGAGCCTATAAAAGAAGCCTTGAACAAAGGAAAGGCGTGCATATATATGCTGCTAGCACCCGCGTGGCTGAACACATGTTTCGCTCGCATCTCCCCTCTTGGGAAGTGTACTTTCATGCTTTTTGTGTCTAATGCTAGGATGTGTGTAGGGGCTCTCTCCACCCTTGGAGAAGGCCATGTTCTCTCTCTCAGTCTCTCCCACTCCACACCTTAAAAAAATCCTCCAAATAAAATCTTTTTATTCCACTGCTTGTCTACTCCTGAAATTCCTTTCTGCAAGGCAAGACAAGAACCCAGTAACCCCTGCCTTGGGTGGTGGAGGCGGACAGGGAGAAGTGACCACCTTTCTTCTCCCCGCTTCACATAAGTCACCCGTGGGGACCACCGACATCAGAGGGATGGGTGTTGGAATACTGTATGACTGAAATTCAATCATGAACAGCTTTGTAATGGTCTCACAGTGATTCACTTAAAAAGTGAAAATAAAAAAGATTAAAAAAAAAGGAAGGTGCTTATATCTGTAACAAATTTGCCCAAGCAATAAATGTATAAATCTGAGAACAATCTGTCTTCTGATTGTTTGACATCTGTTATTCCAAAATATGATAGCTATCATTTTATATAAGTGAAATGCCTGGCCAGCAGATTAGAAGTTCCTTAAGGAAAGGAAACATGCTTTGTCCTCAACTGAATTTTCTCAGCATCGGAGAATACAAAGCAAGTATTCAAGCCATTTCTATTTTCACCACTCTTTCTTTATCTAGGACCTACACATCTTTCTTAGAACATTTCATACTCACTGTATATGGGGATTTGGAAAACTGTCATGGTGTCATCCTTATACTCTGGCGCAGAGTGGGGACGCACAGCTGTGTGAAAGAGAAACAGGTCAATGGTCGCAGGGCCCATATCCTGGAGGCATAAAAATTAACTTTCCAGATCACTGACAGAGCAACTGAACAGCTTTAGGTTTGTCTTCAGATATGCACCCAAACTAGAATTTTTGAGTAAATTAAAAAAATTATTTCTCGTATTTGGGGTTTTTTTGGGGGGGAAGGGATCACATCCAGCGGTATTCAGAGCTTACTCCTGGCTCTACACTCAGAAATCACTCTTGGCGGGCTTGTGGGACCATTCGGGGTGCTGAGATCAAACCTGGGTCAGTCTGATGCAAGGCTAGCACCCTATTCACTGTACTATCTCTCTGGCCTCATTGGAATAAAAGGTAAAGGTAAAGGTAAAGGCCCTCCCATTGATCGTCAATTAGCTCGAGCGGGCCCAGTAACGTCTCCAATGGAGACTTTGTTGTTACTGTGTTTGGCATATCGAATACTCTCGGTAGCTTGCCGGGCTCTCCGAGAGGGGCGGAGGAATCGAACTCGGGTCGGCCATGTTGGCCGCTTGTAAGGCGAACGCCCTACCGCTGTGCTATCGCTCCAGCCAAATTTAAAAAAAATTAAGAACAAAAATGTACTTTTGTCTAATATTAGCATTACCAAAATTAAAGGAAGACATACTTATAAATACCATCTATAAAGAAAAAAAGTAAACAATATCAGATTTAAGACACGTTAACATAGTATTGTGAGGCCAGAGATTCTACCTCTTAGTAGAATAAGAGCAGATATTTATTCTGACAAAAAAAATTTTAAAGTGTTCCTAGGAGAAAGAGCATTAACAATCCAGATATGCAGACTGTCCTCAGGAAAGGGTCCTCAGAGCATCCTGTCAGGCTTGGTCCGACAAGAAGGCATATGTCTGCCAACATAGCCACAGCTGAGATGGCACAAGGGACAGCAACAAGACCTACGTTCTTCAACTGACAAGCCCTCTTACTAGTGCAATTCAACTTTGAGAACTATCCCTAACCCAAGTAGTAATCCTAGGACCTAGACCCCCTAGGCCTCTGAGTGCAAATGAATACTGCTACCTAGCTTTCTTACAGTGTGTGGGCAGCTTTAAAAAAAAAATCACTCCTCTCTGCCTATATTTAGTGGAAATGAAGTAGGGATATAAAAGATTCAGTAGGTAATATTTTAAATTTTCAGTTTATGAATGAAACACTTGTTCTTAAGGTTAAATTTAAATTTGCTTTTATAAGTTCTCATTTGAGAGACCAGGTATATATGAGAAAGAAATGGCAGATAATGAGTCATCCTCAAGTGCGTACCAAGATCTATTCCTTTCAAGGGACCAGAAAATATTTTGATAGCTTCTAGGTATTTTTCCTAAAAAAGAGAAGAAAAACATTAGCAATTATGGTTACACAAATGCCAAAATCAATATATCCAAGTACAGAAGAGACACCAACAGGTATCAATAAGAATTATTATTTGTAATAACAGAGATCAAACCCAGATATTCTATGTATACAAGGCATGTTCTCTATCAGTGAGACTTATTCTCAATCTTTATTAAGTATTTTGAACTTCCTATTTACTGTGTCCACTTGTTAGATGCTAAGGATTTAACAGTGAGGAGATGGGTTCCTTCCTTTGAGGAAATGGAGGAGAGACACCTGCCATAGAGGTGTCTGTTTCCACTGAACACAAGAGCAAGTTAAGGATGCATTCACAAAGCAACACGAGAAATGGGGTGTTGCTATTCAACTGGGGAGTCAAGGAGGCTCCTACGTAAAAATTTTTATGAAATTAATTGGGGGAGATTCCCAAGATTGAGGACTTCCCAAGCAGATCTTAGGAGTTCTGGGACCATACTGGAGATTCTTCTTTCTGATTTTTTTTTTTTGTTTTTTTTTTTTTGGTTTTGGTCATATCTGGCAGTACTCTGGGCTCACTCACTCCTGGATCTGCACTCTGGTATCACTTTTTTTTTTAATGAATCACAGTGTGAGATACAGTTACAAAGTTGCTCATGATTGGGTTTTAGTTAAACAATGTTTCAACTCCCATCCCTTCATCACCACCAATGCATTTCCCTCCTGCCATCCCCCTACCCCCTCTTCAGCCTGTCTCTATGGCAGGTCTCTCTCTCTCTCTCTCTCTCTCTCTCTCTCTCTCTCTCTCTCCCCCCTCTGTCTTTCCCTCCGTCCCTCCATCCCTCCCTCCCGCTCTCTCTCACCCCCATCCCCCACCCCTTTGGGCATTATGGTTTGCAATAAAGTACTGACAGGTTATCATGTCTGTCCCTTTCCCTGCTCCTTTACCTGCTTTTAGCACTCAGTTCTTGTCCAGATCATTTCCAACTATCATTGTCATAGTGGTCCCTTCTCTACCCTACCACCACTTATGGCAGGCTTCCAACAGTAGACGAGTCCTCCTGGCCCTTGTTTCTACTGTCCTTGGGTATTAGTTAAACAATGTTTAACTAATGAGTCAGAAAGAGAGGGACAGACACACAGTAAGAAATCCCTCTTGGTTGAATCAGAGAGGGTTTATAGGGTGCCGGAGATCAAACCCAAGCCTGCCGTATTAAAGGCAAGCGCCCTACCCACTCTATTATCTCTCTGGCCCCAATGCTGGAGATTCTTAGCCAACAGGGTAGCAGTCCACTGGGAAAGCCCACTCACTGGCAGTACCAAGAATACCCAAGGCAACACCAGCAGTGCTGAGATCTTTAAGGTGACACAGAGTGGTACTTAGAGGCCCTGAGTGCAGCACCAGTGACGCTAATATTTGTACTGTTTCCTGTGACAATATAAGCCTTTTAAACTCAGCCCCGAAGGTTACAGAATGGATGAAGGAGACCGGGAACTAGTAGGTATATTGACAAATCCCTTATATGGTAAAGGGCTACACTGTGAACAGAGTTAAAACTGAGTGTGCCAATACAGTTTCAGCTTGAAGATGGACACATTTGCATGTAAGGACTTGGCAGTTGGTTACTTTCCATCCTATGTAATAGGGTATGGATAGTTTTAATCACAATGTGTATATAGAGGTTCAGCAGTGCAACAAGCTGATTTGGAAGATGTAAAAATATTTGAAATATGTAAACCAAGAAAAAAACATCTAGCATTTACTTCGTGCCTGCTTTTTTAAAATACTGTTATTTTATTGTTTTCTATACTTTACTTCACGTACTCTTCAACTCATAGAAAAGAAATAAATTGTTCCAGCTCATATAGGCAAAGTACTTACATCTCTATCAGTTATCTCAAGAGAGCAAAGACTAATTTAGAAAACAGAAATTTTTGTCACATTCATTTAAAGAGATTAATTTGAAAAACTGAGAAAGAGGCAACTCACCAGTTGTGGAGGTCCAGAAAGAACACACTTTGGAAGCCCGGTTTCTTTTAAAGTAAGGATCATTCCTAAGAAAAATGAATAAAATGAGACCTCCACTATTTTGACCTGCAGTTATGCCTAGACTGAGCGCTTCCTCCTGCATCAGTGCTGCTTGTCCTTATTTCGGCTTCTAATTGTCAGGGATCAAGTGCAGAGCAGGAATGATGCTAAACAGAGGTACAGGGAGGACCAAGTATTCCTAAACTACCTCTAGAATGGGCAGGACTGATCTGCAAACAATGAACTGAGGGACCTAGCATGGAAAATTATGCAAGCAAAGGGGTGCCCTTAACCTTCGCACCTCCTTGCCTCCTCCCCCTCTCAGCCCTGAGAATGGTACTACACACTGCTCCTTCCTACCCATACAAAGCTTAAACCACAGACCCAACCACAAGGTACAGCAAATCCGTGGTTTTCGAGGTAAATATATTTATTGCAGTCCCACTACTTCAGCTGATTATCACACACCTGCAGTACCAGTCAAGAAACTGAGTCACGATAAAAACTGGGAATATCGATGCTAAAATCTACTCTCCTGAGCCACAGCTTTTTAGGCTTCAACTGACCATGCTAGCATAGGAACACTTGCAAGCTCCCGGGCAACAGGAAGGGAAAGACGGGGATACGACACTGAAGCGAATTCAAATCCCTGAGATTTCTCTGCAGCCTGACTGGGGGAAAAAAAAAAACACTCACCACACAGTCCGCCAACATTACTCCAGTGCATCCGGGTGAGGAATATGTTGTCCAAACGAGCCACCTTCAATCTAAGAAACCAAAATGCAATGGAGCTTCACTGGGCGGGGGAGCCCTCTAGTCTGCGATGGGCGGTCCCGGGGCGTCACACCTCGGGGGACCCCCTCTCCACCCCCGGACCGCCTCGCGGGCCGACTCACTTGTGCTCTTGCATGAGTCGCTGCACGCCTTCGCCGCAGTTGAAGAGATACCTGCAGACAGACAGTGACAACCTGGGACTGGCTCGACCTGTCAGGCAGCGCGGCCGACGGCGCTCGCCGTGCCGGGCCCGGTTCAGCCTCCGGGCCGGGCGGACCAGGCCCGCGGCGGGAGGAGGCCCGAGGCCCTGAGCGCCCCCCGCACCCGCGAGGCCCGAGCCCCCCCCCCGGACCGGCCCCGCGGACACTGACCGATTGTGCTCCGAGAAGACGTAGAGCGCTGCGCCCGCATCGCGCCCGCCCGCCGCCACCACCTGCAGGAACGCCGTGTTGGGGCCGCCGGGCTCCCGCGCCGGGTCGCGCTTCTCGCGCGCGCGCAGGTGCCGCGGCGGCTCCCTGGGCGGCCGCGGGCGGCGCGCGGGACCCTGCGACATGCTGCGCCCACGCGCGACCCGCAGCAGGTAGCGCGGCGCCCACATCCGCCAGGCCGCGCCCGCGTGGAAGACAGAGCCGGCCGCCAGCCGGCTCGGGGCGCTCTCCGTCCGGGCCAATGGGAGGGTCGGAAACCAGCAGGCCCGCCCACGCGAGTCTGCACGGCCAATAGAAAGGAGCCCTTGAGACTGCGGAGCATAAAGCGGTGGCGTGCTAGAGCGGCCGGTACTTCTTCCGCCTTCCCCTTCCGCCCAGTTGAGGCTTTCAGGACACCGCCCTCCCCCCTGGGCGGGACTTCCGGAAACTCGGGACCCTCGTGGGCTGAGTCGAGTTCTCTCGTGTTTGCTTCATGCTGGCGTCTGGCTGTGGAGATGGAGTGTGAGTGGTGAACGAGAAGTCGTCGCTTTTATTCCCTCTGTGATTCTGAAGCGAGACTTGGCTTGGCCGCAGCTGCCTGGGCCACCTCATCGGCGCCAGGGACCACCTCACGTCTCGGATGCCTCCCTCACGGCGACCCCGGGACCACGTCACTGGGGAAGGTGCCGCCCTCACGGCGACCCCGGGACCACCACCACACCGGGGCGGGTGCCACCCTCACGGCGACCCCAAGACCACCTCACCAGGGTGGATGCCGCCCTTGTGTCAGCACCACGAGGCAGCTCTCATGTTCGTGCACTCCACAGGCTCTACACTGCTCTCCCGATTCCTGAGTTTTCCAGGGAGCTGTCGATTCAGGCTGAAATAAGGAATTCCTCTTCCTAGGAGCAATGTTAGTTCTTACTTCAGCAAAAAAATATCACCTTCCCTCACAGCAGAATTTCAGACGAGATGAAATAGTGAAGCAAAATGATTTTATTTGAAAAAATTTACTGAGAGGAATATGAGGGCGATGCAGGAGCAGTAACTTTTTTCTGTTATGTTAAGTAATAAAGGTGCTTAGACTCATAGTTAGAAAATAGGAAATTATTGAAAAGTAGAAGAGTGAAAGAAACTGCATAACGGAAAGATATGTTTTTGTGTTGGCATGTCAAGTGACAAGAATGTTACAGAGGATGTGTTGTAAGAAGATATGTAAGGAGGCCTAGTAACTTGGGAAGCGGTAGAAACATAAGCAGAGATTTCCTAGGCCTGAATTAGCCCAAAGGCATAAAACTACAAACCCTTTAGCATGCAAATCTTCAGCTCTGAGGCACCACGCAGATGCAGAAGTCCAATTACCCACCTAGAGAAGGATGGACCCCTCAGAAAGGAGACACCACAAAATAATCCATGAAGTTAGGAGGAGACCAACAAAAATTGCAAGGCTTTCCTGTGACAATGCAGATTAACTTTTATATATGCGAAAGTCCAGCAAAACCCATTTGGAAGAATTGTATAAAAGTTCCTTTCAAAGTTATTTGGGACTTAATTTTCAAGCCTACGTTCTCTCTTGAACATGTATCTTCTAGTTTGTCTCTATGTTCCTTTGCTTGCCTATGTCCACTCTGGAGAATCCTGGGTTCTCTCTTGAACATGTACTTCTCCCTCTTCTCTCACATCTTTCTCCACAGAACTCCTTGGGACTCCACCAGTGGCTTATATGAGACAGAAAGGAGAAAGACCATCACCCCAGGAACACCAGCTGTGAGTTTCCACAGAAAAGCATGGTGTGTGTGTGGGGGGGGGGGGGCGATGGGGGGGCAGACTGAAATGTTTGGTGGCCAAGAACATTCCCCTTGGCCAGATGGATGAAGGACTGGGGAAATGGAGAAACAGGAACTGGGCCCCGGGCTAGCTAGTTTATTTCTTTCTCCTCCCTACCATAGTCCTCTCTCCCCTTACAGCACAATCATAGTCCCAGTTTTGCTGGTAGTGCCAGTCATCATAGTTCCATCATCCTAATCTCCTCTCAGACCTCAAAGTCCTTTACCAAGTGACATTTTCTTCCTCATCTCATCATCTCATCGTAGTCTTATAGTCCTCTACTTCTAGTCATCGTGTCCTCTGGTCCTCCTTCTGGTCCTCAAAGTTCCAAAAGTCTCAAAGTCTCAGTTCTCATCCTCCCCTCTGTCTCCTTACAGCATCATTATATAGGAATCATGAAGGGTGGGGGTACACATAGGTGGAGTTGAACATTGTCATAACAACAAACAGAGGTAAAACCACTCCTTTAGAAGATTGAGTCGAAGACAACATCTCATCTGAGGGTTCAGCACTCCAGATTACTAGGAGATCCACTTAAGGGTAAGACTTCATCCAGGCTGTAATGCTTTCTCCTGTCCTCAGCTAGTTCTATAGTAAATTTACTTCTTAAAATTGGCTGGAGTGATAGCACAGCGGGTGGGGCATCTGCCTTGCATGTGGCTGACTGGCCGACCCAGGTTCAATTCCTCCGCCCCTCTCAGAGAGCCCAGCAAGCTGCTGAGAGTATTTCACCTGCACAGCAAAGCCTGGCAAGCTACCTGTGACATATTTGATATGCCAAAACATAGTAACAAGTGTCAAAATGGAGACATCACTGGGCCCGCTCCAGCAAATCGATGAACAATGGGAGGACAGTGACAGTGACTTCTTATAATATTTCTAGTCATTTTGTGTGAATACAGAGATATATTAAGCTTAAAGTTTGGCTCTTCCTGGGGACATCTTGCTATATATCCCAATCCTCAGGCCAGGTTAACCTCTAAACCCAAGTTAACTACAGTCCTCAAACCACCTTAACCCCTAAATCCAAGTTAACCCTAACCCCAGCAGGTTCCTTATTCAATTACTTCTTTTTAGGTCGTGACAGAGTTTGTTCCATGACTGTGCTCTTAACTTATACTTAAGACGCTTAGCTTGTCTCCTTCCAATGCCAAGGTAGCTTGCAGCTTGCTCCTTGCAGGAGGAGCAAGGACAACCCAATGTTACCCAACACTCTGCCACCCTGAGGCCATCTGGGAAGACTAGAACTGGCAGTCTGCAGATGAGCCCCTACACTGCATGGGCTAGAGCCCTGCCAACTCCACCAGGTGACTAGTAAGCCACACTTGAGGTCCTTTGGTCTTCTCGGCACTGGAGTTAATCCGTACCTCCCAAGATTTCTCTCAAAGAGGCATGAACTCAGGCTGGAGCGAGGAAGTGCTCTTTTTAGGAAAAGATGCTCCATTCTAGACATGACCCAGGGTTGTCCTAGCTCTTAGAAAGGAATGTCAGGAGTGAACTAGCAATGAAGTAAAATAAACTTTGTTTAGAGGGTTTTCAAAGAAGTTGAAGGAGGGAGAGCAAAGAGAGAGAGTGTGAGGCATTCAAGAGAGATTGCCATCTTCTCCAAAGACAGTCTCAATACACATCTTAAGAGCGAACTTTCAGGTAGCACATGTGCTTGGCTATGTGGGCACAAGCAGCACATGGGCTCAGTCAGCATATGCACACCCTTCCTTTGTTTAAAGTGGCTTTTACAGGGTCTCTCCAACCTGCCTCTACATGGGGATTTCTAGCTAGGTAAGAGTTTGTTGCTATAGTGGTTGCCAAGGAGGGATTGCCCTGGTCTGGCTTTCTCTGGCAGAGGTGGGGTCATTCAGGTGTCAGAAATCTCCTTCAAGTCTTTAACTGCAGTTTCTGTCTCTGATGAAGTTTGTGTCTCTGTGGGATCCAGCCTCCACAAGATCTCACTGGCGCCAGGAAGATCTTATCAGGTTGAGGCCATATTTCTTGCAGCTTTAGTATTATTGGATTCATTACTTTCAGAAATTCCACTGCCATGGACCCTCTCCTATCCAACTGCCTGCCTCAAAAACACTCGTCTTGAATCTACCCTCCTTACTCCCCATTTTACCAAGCCGCTGGCAACAAGTGCAAGGATCCTACAGAGTGATCTGGCTGGTTCAGTTGTTTTGAATTGTCAATTATATTTGACCATTTACCTTAGTATTGCCCATTATCTCTTAGTCTCTGATGAGGATAAACTCTTGGGGAGGCTTACTACCTTGGGAAATTGCTAATTTCCCTTCTTCAGTAAGCAATCAAGATTTTATAGGGTTGTTAAAAGTGTGGAATGGAGGCAACTAAAATGGGACTGTACACAGCAGCTGGCAAGGGGAAACTGAGGCTTCCTCTTGGGAGAGAAAGACAAATTTTCTTTTCTTTTTTTTTAATTTTTAATAGTGAGACATCATGAGGTACAGTTGCAGACTTACACATTTTTGTGCTTGGGTTTCAATTATACAATGATCAAATATCCATCCCTCCACCAGTGCCCATTTCCCACCACCCCATCCCTCCACCAGTGCCCATTTCTCACCACCATGGATCCCAGTATCCCTCCCACCCCCCATCCCCCCAACCCACCCTGCGTCTGTGCAGGGCATTCCCTTTTGTTCTCTCTCTCTTATTCGGTGTTGTGGTTTGCAAAAGAGGCAATGGGTGACAATCATGTTTGGTCTATAGTCTACTTTCAGCATGCTTCTCCCATCCTGGGAGGATCCTCCCAACACCCTTTATTTGGTGCTCCTTTCTCTATCTGAGCTCCCTTTTCCCCTAGCATGTGTGGCTGGTCTCCAAGTCATGGAGTAAAATTCCTGGTACTAATCTCGGCCATTCTTGGGTGTTAGTCTTCTATTTTGTTACTTTATGTCCCCAGGCTGGAGCGATAGCACAGCGGGTAGGGCGTTCGCCTTACAAGCGGCCAACATGGCCGACCCGAGTTCGATTCCTCCGCCCCTCTCGGAGAGCCCGGCAAGCTACCGAGAGTATTCGATATGCCAGACACAGTAACAACAAAGTCTCCAATGGAGACGTTACTGGGCCCGCTCGAACAAATCGACGATCAACGGGAGGGCCTTTACCTTTACCTTTTACCTATGTTCCCCAGATGAATGCAATCTTTCTATGGAAAGACAAATTTTCTAGAGAGAATATGTTTCTCTGGGAAAAAGCCTATAATGGCTTTTGAGAGAAAGTTATAATATATGTATAAATATTATGTAAATATATTGTGTAAATATATATGTTATATAAATATATATTATACACTATATATAAATGTGTTATGTAATATGTAAATTATATACGATATAATTATATTATGTAAATATAATATGTAATATAATATGTAAATATATAAAT